TAAATTAAATAAATTAAATAAATTAAATAAATTAAATAAATTAAATAAATTAAATAAATTAAATAAATTAAATAAATTAAATAAATTAAATAAATAAAATAAATTAAATAAATCAAATAAATTAAATAAATTAAATAAATTAAATAAATTAAATAAATAAAATAGATAAAATAAGTATATTAAATCTGTACTGTAATAGTATACTCTTTTTCTAAAACTAAGCTTTATTAAAATATAGATTATAATTTATTAAAATAATAGTAGAAAAAGTTTTTAATTATTTAGTAAATATTTTTTAAATACTAGACTAGCTTAGTAGTTAGATTAAAATATCTAATTTATTTTATAATATATATTAGTTAAGGGTAACTATATTCTTTATAGTTTTATATAAAATTAAAAATATTTTTAACATTTTATTTTTTTAATTTAGTAATTTTTATATAAAATAGTAGAAATAAATACTAGCCTAAAACTAGTTCTTTACTAATAAAAATAAATAAACTAGTATTAAATATAGAATATATTTTTATATTAAAAAATAAATCTAATTAGTACATATATAAAATAATAATTTTTTTAGTTTTATATAGTTTTAAAAAATTTTAATTAAGCTTTTTACTGGATTGTAGTATTTTAATATAGTAGATATCCAACTATATTTTTTAATTTCTTTTTAAATTTTTTTAAAAATTTATATTATTAATTAGCTTATTTTATATATTAGGCTTAAATAGTAGATATCTTTATTTTAATAAATTTTATAATAGTTTATATTTTTATAGTAAACTAGTCTATATTTTTGGCAGCTGGGCTATTTAGAATTACTATAGAATTATAAATATATAATCAAGTTTATAAATATATTTTACTATACTTATTTAAATATTAGCAGAGACTTTAGTATTTTTTACTTTATTTTTTTAAATAGAATTACTTTTAGTAGATATATTAGTTTTTTACTTATTATTTTATATATTAATAAATATTAGACTAGTAGTATTTTTAAACTAATAGTTTATTAAGAACTTTTCTGAGGTTTCTCAGAAAGACTTCATTGGACTCTCACTTTTGCATACAAATTGGGTGCAAGAGTGAGGTGAAAGTGAGAGAAAAATAAAAGAATTAAAAATAAGAAGAATTAAAAATAAGAAGAATTAAAGATCAGATAAGAAAGAGGCTAAACTGCTAGAATTGATTTAACTGAATGAAAACTGATTAAACTAATTGAACTTCTGAATAGAACTCTAGGGGTCTTTTTATCCTTATTTATAGCCAATTGGCTATCAAAAACACATGAAAAAACACATAAATTTATATGAAATTTATATGAAAATCATATGAATAGAACAGGGCTGAGAACAATAGAACCAGTGGTTGAATAGGGTCTAGAATAATCAATGAAAGTAAGGCCTTTTGCTCCGCTGCAGGGTGGGCGGAACTCGGAACATCAGTCCGCCAACTGGTTGCCTAAGGCAGCCAACTGTTGGCCTAAGGCTGCGAACTGGCGAGCCTGAGGCATAACTTCAGTGGCAGGCAGGGCTTAAGGTGGCGGGCAAGCAGGAATGGCAGGCGAGCAGGCCCTGAGGTGGCGCCTGGCAGTGGTGGCGAACTGGCGAGCCCGAGGCCGCGAACTGGCCAATCTGCCCACATTGTTGACATAATTTAAATAGCTAGATTATTAACTACTTAATCTAAATATACTTTAACTATACTAAAACTAAAAAAAATATAGCAGATAAATCTTAGTACTAAAAATAGTTAAAATAATTAACTATTTAGTTTTTAGCTATACTGCAGTTAGATATAAAAATTTTCTTAATCTAACTATAACCTGGTAGTTAGATATAAAAATTCTAATTAACCTAATCTAACCTGGCCGTTAGCCACTCTAGTATTAATCTTAGTAGAAATAGCTACAGTACCTTTTACTACTTATAAAACCCCAGTAAAAATAGATTAAATAAAAAAATTATTAATCCTGGCTAGGCGGGTGTAGCTCTAAGCAGTAAACTAATAAGCTGCAGAATCTAGAAGTACTGGGGCTTATACAATTAAAATTACTGATTAATTAAATAGTAGATTATAATTAGAAGTATTTTAATATTAAAAACTAGTTGCCCAGTGGCCTTGTAAACTGTCTTAGCCATATATTAAAACCCGCCTGGTAAAGGCACTTTTAGATTAATTATACCAATACTATAAAGACTAGTCTAGAACAGCAGTAGAAAAGTAAAAACTAGTAAGCTATAGATATTATAATAAAGGGTGTAGAGTATATAGAGATAGAAAGTACTAAAAAAAATCAGGCGCTAAGTAAGATGTGGGCGGGGCTGGCGGGAGGTGGTCGTCCACCAGGGTTGCAGTATTGGTGTGACGGGCAATTTGTTGCTACTGCTCATTGTGCTTCTCTGATGTTGACACTGGTCTGGTAGACCCATCAGGCGCGGATGGCAGGCTTACTTGTACTGCCTCGAACTTGCGGGGAATGAAGAAGACGGATTGATGACGTAGTGCCGACGTGATTTGCATCTGATTTGTCGCCACAGAGTACTGAAAACCGCTACACAAGGGGAAGGAAGATGGTCATTGAGCGGAAACGTCCATTCGATTAATTGTTTAACTAAGTAAAAGAGGTAGAAGATATAAAGAAAAATAATCTCAAGATAAAAGAGAACCGTCCAGTAATCAATAATTAATCAATCTGGTTATTATTACCCGGGCTTAGTATTTCTATAAGTAGAAATAAGCCAGCCCCGGCCAATAAACTGTTTATCATTCTTCATAAATTTTATTAAAAGTATTAAATATGTCTCTAAGAATATAACCTTAGACTTTCTTATTCTTCGGAGGCAGCCACGTATTTCCATACAGCTACACACATTATAATACGCACACTTGCTGTCACATTTCAATTCCATAGACAACCGAGATTTGAAGGGGTAGGTGCCGGGAATGGGTGCCTTGAACATATGGCACTGAATCTTTTAGTTAAGAGGATCCCACTATAGATCGGCCGCGCTCAACAAATACTAGCTCTGGGTCCAATCACAGCATAATAAGTCTGCCCTGAACCGTGCAAAGCTAACTATTACACCCATTGGCAGCAAGAGATTTATGATGCCCGCAAAGATTTCCTAAAGGAAAGCTTGTTCAAGGGCCAGATCTCTAAAGCTAGTGGTAGACATCGACTCACGAATGAAGACCGTCGGTCATAAGACGGAATGGGCAGTAGGAAAGAGATGTAGATCTGTGGTTCAGTCAAGATAGAAATTTTGCTTGTTGTTGGTTTCAGTTACTCGTATTCTGGTCGTTCTATCAATGCAACCCTGACTGTGCTGACTTTTGCCATGATAGGTATCAAACTCTACCAAGGAGCTAGTAGACTCCGTCTGCAAACGGTGATGAAGGCAACGTTTCTTTGTTGTTGATTCCATGCAATGTGAGATACATGGTACAAAGAAAATCTAGATCTCGAGAACTTCAGGCCCCAAACCCTTTTCTGGCTCATGGTTCGGATATATGTGTTCCCTGGTTCGACTTTGATCATCGATAAAATAGCTTATCGCTAGCTGAACTCTCAAGGAGTAGTAGTATTGTATCCTGTCTTTTGCCCGTTACTTCCTTGAGGAGCTAATCTTCTGACAATTCAAAATACAGAAGCCTATACAATCATATAAATTATCTGGCTGAGATACCCATTTCCTCATCAGCTACACGAACACTCCCTGACTGATTGCCTCTTTCCAGCTGCGGCGCATTGACATAAGAGTCTGGTAGGTTTATGTCGATCACTTCCTGCATTATCCTGTACCGGTTGAAACAGTCTTTGATTAGACTCATCACGTTTCGATTTACCTGCTCGTCCGCATCATATCTTAGACTTATCTCCACCTCTTCGATATAGGTCTTAACTTTTCTGATCTCGGTCAAATCCTTTCGTAGACGCTGCGGTAGCCCGCGTCCCTTCATAAGGGCAAGGACACCAGCAACAACAGTATTAATTGCCCCTAGGATGGTGATTGCAACCATGTGATCAGCGGACAATGGCCCTAGTGCTGTGATAGTTGCTCCAACAACCAGTTGAAGTATGGCGAGGAAGTTGAAGACGATGGAAAAAAGACGATTGTGCGTGGTCTTGTGAGTCTCTTGGGCCCTCAACCTTTTGTATAACGCGCCGGTGGCGGCACGAAAGATTTCGTAACTATGGGGCGAGGTGCCATTTCTTGAGGATTTCGACGACTCTGGCATGATAAGAAACACACTTGTGTGAAGAGGACCTTGGAAGACGTGGTTCTATGAATGAGCAAAGACGACAAATTTATTATGAGATCCAAAGGGAGACACACATGCAATATATTTAGATACCTGTTGCTGGCACGTCATATTTAGGTTGTCTGATTCAACCTCCTTGTGTGGGCAGGATATTCCTGTCGACTCATTCATATGAACGGCCAGCCACGGAGCGGGGGCTCGTCTCTGTGTCCCAAAGAATTTACGATGAGTGGGGGGCAAACTTCTTTCAGCAGATTGCTATATAATAGCGGTCCATGGAGCTCATGGGTGGAGTAACTTCGGCTTTGGCCGCTTGTAGAAGTATATTTGTGGGACGGGGGAAGATTCTTTGAATAAAATTTGTGACTACGTACAAGTGACATTGAACTCGTAGAGATTTTGAGCTTATAGACTAACCCACCGAACATATTTGATTGAGCCTAAAGAACGATTACAAGCAGAAAAAAGAAAACAACAAGGCATGGAATTTCCGATTCATGAACGACAGTACCGGACTACTAATTAGTTGGGGAAGCTTTTCTAACGAATATGTTAACGCGCCCGGGGCATGAGACTGTTCAAGTCACACTGCACTTACTAATGGAACTGGAGATCCCCATCATAGTTGTTGATCCTCTCCGCCAGGTTCACATCCCTGTTACGGAGGTAGTTGCCAGCCGAGTCGCGAAGATCAGCTCGCAGAATAGGATTACGGCCAGCACCTTCTTCGGGATTGAATTTGATGTTCGTTGCCTGCTCGGTAAACTCAGTTCCTCCCCACTCGAAGCGGCCTGTCTTACGTTCAGTGCGAAAGATCCTTCCCTTGAATCGCAGAGCTGAGACTTACCGCCATTATCGCCAAGGCAAGAGTCCAGTCGAAGCTTGCTCTTGTTCCACCCACCCTCGCGCCTCTGGCAGAAGCCGACAAGGTAGGTGTCACAAGGATGCTGCTCAATATAAAGCCCGTTGGTTGCATTCATAATGGGTATGTGTAAATGGACCTGCTGGAGTTTGACGGATCTCCGATATTGTTGTAGAATAAGAACTCCCCAAAGGCCGGATAATGACCCGAGATTTATATGAAGTTGATTATAGGCTGGCCATGGCCTTGTAGAAGAGCCATGGGTAAAAATGTTCTAGACCTATAATATAAGGTTGCGACAATTTCTGCTACTTCTTGGATCTGGACTTTAATGTATGTTAAAAAGGCGGCCGTTTGCAGACAATAGCTATCAATTGCGGGTCAGATCATCTCCGTATTATACGAGCTCGGTCAGCAGAGCGTGAGGCCCGCCTGCCCAACCCTCAAGTTGGGTCCAGATCAACAAACTGGATAATAGCAGTATCGCGGTCTTTGGGCATTTATCTCTATCTGGTATCTCAGGTTTCTGAATACCGCTGCAAGGCGCTTCTCTACCAAGTCTGGATTGGAGAACGATGTTCAGGTCCCATTTCACTGTAGGTCCAGTTAGTCGAAATCGAAGGTCCTGGACTCACACATACCGACAAGTGGTTGGTTTGCTTCTAAATGGCTTTCGCATATTGCAAAGCAGTACGAGAAGATTATTAATAGCTCCTTTCATTCTACATACTGATTAGCCAAACTCGCGGTGCCATGGAAGTAAAGTGATATCATTGTTGCAGTCATCCTGTCCGAGCTAGTCAAATCAGCAAAATTCTAATTATTAGAGTAACGAAAAGCCTTCTCCTGTGCACCGAGTTCGACTTTTGGATCCGGCTTGGATTAGTTGTCCGATGGATTTCAAAGTCATTTCTCCCCAGGACGAGATGTTAACCGCGATCTAAATGGAAAAGGATCCATTTCCTCTACCCAGCTATCCGCCATCTATAATTATATAATTAAACTATAAAACTAACCACCAAGCGCGTGACCCCGTGATACCTAACCTACTTATTGTTCTTTGATAATGCTGTCTACTATTTTAAGAAGCACTGTGATTCCAATAGCACTAATCTAGGCTTAAAAGTCCCTCGTATAACTCCTTGTTGTCCTAAATTATGTCATCTACTATTTCTATTGGTAATGAAAAAGTAACTGTTTTATGTGACTGCATTTATCCCTAAGAACAATGTAGTTAGCAGTGATTCCTTGACTTGGGGCCTGAGAAGCTTAGAAGATTGTCATTGCCTACACTCTTCAATTGTTTCTCGAACCCAAAATAGTTACTAAGCCGCACTCACTGTATCAAGAAAAGCTATGGAAGAGTAAGGTTCCATTTTTACCTTCTAAATCGTACGAATAATTCTACGACCATTATATGGCATTCGTAATCTCGTGGAAGATCCCTTGGTGAGCCTCGGAAACGTACCCAAGGTTGCATCTTTCCCATGACCAAAATTATTTGACGTTGGCTCGCCTTAGCTCTTCTCTGCGCTGCTACTATTATGTGTCTGTTAATAGTAACCTTGTTGACGTTTCTCTTGAACTTTAAGGATGGAATCTAGGCCATATAAGTTGCTCGGTTAATCCTTACTGTCATCTCCTCTCTTCTATATTATGCTGTCTACGTACCCGCCTTCAAAAATTCCCATATGAAAAAAGTGACGTGCTCTTTAGCAACACAACGTCATATACTTCTAAGGCTTTGAATTGCCTTATTAAATTACTATCCAACAAACGGGCCGGCCGAGACCACAATTTGGAGAAAGTGCAACATCTGCTTGACTGTCAATAAAAATGGAATCGTTTGAAATGGAACCGTTTCTCTCTGCCACGATACTTGGTAATCTCAGGTTTGATTATCGTCAGCATGACTGGGCAATTGAAGTTGGGCAATTCCTTGGCTGCCTTGAATTGCTATTAAACAATCCACGTGCAGATCTTGACAAGAGTGCTACCATACAATTGAACGAGGTTATCAATGAAATTAATTCCCGACTTTCGCGTCACCGTATTTCACACAGGATACCTGATATATCAGAAAGGGCGGGCAAGCAAGCTACCCTTCTCGTCGAATACACGTTGAATTCGCTTAAAGCCGAAGCTAGCTCGGCTCATTGCGCATTTGCATTGATCGGAGAGGCAGCGTGTTTCTTGCGAGAAGGCACTCGATTTGCTTCTACAGATCAAACAAGAAACGCAGTTTCTGAAAACGCCTTGAACCGTATCAAAAGCATTTCAATATGGTGCCAAGATATTACACTATCTACTGAAGCTTTCGGGGATTTATTAACAAGCCAAAATTTTGGCTTATTGGATACCAGTTTTCTGACAAAAATGTTGACTGAGCTCCAGAGCCCTCTCAACATACATGTATTGGCAGCCAGTCCACGTGACCAAGCTGCCATACAAGTCCCAGAAGAGCTCCGAGAGTCGATGATTGCAATCCAAAGAACGAGTTTCAAGATAATTTCAGTCTCAGTCACAGTCATGGCTGTCGTGTACAGGATATTAACATGGATTTGATGCGAAACGAGCCCACCATATTACATTTCAGTGGCCATGGGGACCGTGAAGGAATAGTTTTCCAGACCGATAATGGACAGAGTCAACTTGTTTGAGGTAATGATTTGGCCGAGTTTCTTGTGAACCACCAATCAGTAAAGCTTGTGGTTCTCAATAGCTGTTATACTGCCAATCAAGCCCAAGCTATGGCTGATGCAATTGGGTGTGCAATCGGGATGAGTGGTGCAATATTGGATGAGGATGCAGTCTTTTTCACACGTGAGTTTTACGCCGCACTTGGTTACGGTCGATCAATTCAGGACGCTTTCAATACGGCAAGGGCTGCTGTTCGCCTACGAGGCGGTGGTTTCGATACACGTCTCCATGTCCGCGGCACCATGGCTGATTAGATACCGGGCCAGTGAGCTTCTCACGATCTGAGGTGAAAGTTGAAGCCAGAGGACAAGGCCAGCCATGAGAGCAAAATATCAACCAGTGAAAAAGGAAGATACGAGGAAGATAAAATCGAAAGGTTCTATAGCTGGGAAGTTTCCTTCTTTTGCCCCTCCGGATTGATAGGAATCAGGCTTTGATTCGTCGGCCTTTCGACCCGGCTGCCTACACCATAATTTGCAATTATGTCCATCTCTGTATATTGAGAGTGATATTTGATATTGCCTTTGCCCTTGCCTAATCTAGTCCTGCTACTCCGTCCTGGTAGTTCATTGATAATATAGTGGACGAAATTGATTAATCATTTGACTACTGAACCCAACCAACATAATACCTAGAGTTACTCCTAAAGTGGCTAACGTCCAGGTCAGGTCAGGTTAATTAGAATTTTTATACCTGACCGCCAGGTTAAAATTAGATTAAAAGTTTTTATATCTAACTATAATATAGTGAAAAATTAGATAATTAACTGTTTTAACTGTTTTTAATATTAAAATCTTTTTATCATATTTTTTAAGTCTTAGTATAGTTAAAATATATTTAGATTAGAGTGGCTTAACCTGACTGTTATATCTTAACTATAATTTAACTATAATCTAACATTTAGATTAAAATATAAAAAATTTTAACTCTACAGTTAAAATTAGATTAAATTATAACAAATATTTTAATTATTTATATCTGTTTTTGAAAAATAAATATAATAAATAGATTAATAATTATAAATTAATCTATAATATATATCATCTTGTTATATAAATAATATATAAAGTATAATATATTTTAATTATAATATAATAATATTTTTAATTCTAATATATTTAGAGTGGCTAACAGCCAGGTCAGATTAGGTTAATTAGAATTTTTATACCTGAGTACTAGGTTATAGTTAGATTAAGAAAATTTTTATATCTAACTATAGTATAGCTAAAAACTAAATAGTTAACTATTTTAATTATTTTTAATACTAAAATCTATTTACTATATTTTTTTAGCCTTAGCATAATTAAAATATATCTAGATTAAGCAGTTATTAATCTAGCTATCTAAACTGTTACTAAGAGGTATATAAAAAAAGCTTTTTAAATAAAATAAAAGTAAATTAAAAAAAAGGCCTTTTGCTCCGCTGCGGGGTGGGCGGAACTCGGAACACCAGTCCGCCAACTGGTGGCCTAAGGCTGCGAACTGGCGAGCCTGAGGCATATCTTCAGTGGCAGGCAGGGCTTAAGGTGGCGCCTGGCAGTGGTGGCGAACTGGCAAGCCTGAGGCTGCCAACTGGCCAATCTGCCCATATTGTTGACAAAAAGAAATAAAGGGGCAGAGTTTACTTATATTGCCAGTCTATTAGTATAGCAGAGCCGGGGACTACAATAAATACTAGTTGCTTTTGAAATAGATAAAAAAATATAAAAATAGCTATTATTTAGGGTGCTGACGGCCACCAGAAGCTGACCTAAATAACCCTAAATAAGGCGGTACTGGACCACCGCAGCCGCTCGGTGAGCACCACCATACTTATGCTGTTGTATATTTTTTGACCAGGTACTGGCGCGACCCGGTGCGCTCAATTCGACAACCCGCGAGATCTTGCGCCCACAGGACTCGCGCTCGGGAGGACTCGATTCATCTTGGATACGGACGGAGGTGTGCCTATGCCATCTCACACAATGCTTAACTTCGCGGGCACGTTGGAGACAGAGTGTTTACATGTCACATGAACTCTTTGAAATGTTCACGTGAACCGACCCCACTGGATGCAGATTTATAAGCAAGAACATGCCGCACAAACTTATATATTAACTGTTTTTTTACTTTGAAATTCATTTTCCTTTAAAACAGACTCCCTAATAAAGAACCCTAATGTAAAAGAATGATAAAGGGTATTCCCTAATAATACTCCTAATGTAAATAGTTGTAAAGCAGTTTTTAAGCACTATTTAACTGCCGCTTAACTGCTTGGAAACTACTTAAAAAGTAGTAGCAGTTATATGTAAGGGTATTGAAAAGATAATGTGGAATGAAATCTATGTTTTATATAAGTAATAAGGTGGCTTGGAAATCATGTGACCAAACTTCTTAGTAAGCCGTTTTCGTGCCACACGACCAAAAAAACGAGGTCGGCTCACCTGCAGTCTGGGAGACTATCGGTACCCAAATACAACCCGAACATGGGAGTGGGATGCGGCACCCCTAGATGACGACGGCAGATGATGACTATCGTAGTCCCTATGCTCACCATGCACTGGAAGTCGTCTGACTACGTTCAGAAGCTGAGATTTCTCGACCTCATTTCGGTGGGGAGCACTCATGGTCACGATTCCTACCATAAGGGGTGGAAAGAGGTGGTATATGACCCCCGGCTACCTTCATTACTGGAGGATTCCTTATGTTATGTTATAATGCCTGAGACTCAAGAAGACCCTTGAACGAGCAGTATGGCCAGCCGTATAATGTCCGAGAGATGGAGTGGAAAGCCGCTGCCAAGGATAATCTGGAGCACATCGACCTGTTTGACCCTAATTTTAGGCAAGGGTAGAGGGAGAGGGGACATAAGTTAGGTATACATGGGGGCTGTTCTCTCTTTTCTAGATTCTAAGTAGTTTGCTCAATGTGTGCTTCACGTCCTTCTTGACCAACTTTCGAGCGACAGCTTCCAAGGAGAAATGGGCCATAGAAGTCAAGGGGATAGATCTTCCGTCTCTGATAGATGCTACATGTAGATGAAGATTGATTGCGCGGGATAGCAAGTAGAACGTAGAAAAAGAACCAGAAAAGAAAGTACAGTAAAGCGATGATATGCAACTCAGCACCTCACACACTCCCCCTCCTCACACTCAGTCATCCGCAGAAGCGCCAGCTCCGCCTGCTGTTTAACATCCATATCGAACCTGCGAATCTCCCCGGAAACAATGCGCAGAAACAGCTGCTTTCACAGACCCCATCTCTCCATGCTCCACATCTGCCGTACTGGGTCGGTGACCTTGTCCCTTTTCTTGCACTCCGCGTAGACGTACTCCCCGTGTAGCAGGATCCACTGCACGCCCGCGAACAGATCACAGGCGTTTGCTGTCGTCTTGGATGGAGCATAGTTCCAGCCGCCAGGGATGATTCTCTCCAGGGAGCACAGAAACCCACACTCCACGAGACCCAGTGCTGTGATGCGGGCGATCGCGGACTGAAAGTTGCGCCATCGGAAATGTTCTTCGTCGCTTGTCATTCGACCGGTTCGGGCCTTTTGCTGGCATTGTGCGCAGTTGTAACCGCAGGCTGTGTTTGGAAAAGGGTACATTAGCATTCTGAGCAGCTTAACCAACATACATTGCAAGAATCAAAAGATAACCCCAAAATAGAGAGAGAGAGAGAGAGAGCCAAAAAGCGGGGAGATGAATAAGATATAATAAGATATACGTACGAGGAACTTCTCGACAGAAAGCGTCCGCCGATTCACACCAGTTCTTGCCCAGAGGCCACAGCTCGAGCTCCAGGAATGGCTCCACATCCTTTCCCTCGTTGGAGTCGGGCCCCAGACACAAGACGTGATGTAAGGGCATTGCGCGCAGTGCCTCCAGGAACATGATAATGCGGTCCTGGGCCGGGTGGCCGGGTGGGACTGCGCTACACAACACAGCAATCCACTGAAAGACCCCCTTGACTTGGCCCCAAGCTGATGACGCGACCTCGCGGATACTTGTCAAACCTCTAGTGATTTCCTCCGGGGTGAGCTGGTAGGGATTGGGCCTGCTGCGGAGAAGGTCGTATCTTGACGCGTAGTGTTGGAGCAAGACCGCGTCAATTTGACGAGCGGCCTCAGAGGGGTCAAGTTCTCCTTCGACCAGGTTGACGAGGATGTTTTTGTAAGCGAGGTCCTCTTCGTCGTCCCATTCATCGTAGATGTTGAGCGGGAGGCAAGCGCGCCCTTTGACGGTGTCTTTGGAGTCCATGATGTTCTTCTCCTTGGAAAGATCTAAGATCATGCGAAGAATTTGTGATGGGCGGGGAAGAGAAGACGATACGATGGAGGAAGACAGAAAGTTTTCCGAGATAAGGAGAAAATCTTGACGATCAACCCGAGACAACAGTCAGTTCATTCACTCCGAGCCTGTATGAAGGGGTAGTGTACTTGTCCTATATGAGTACCCGGCTCAGAGTGAATGATAGCTACAAAGCCAGCCCCTGTCATGTACCACATCTCATGATACGCCTTCAAACTCGCCTGGTCGTTTCCAGGCAAAGATCTGCCCGACATGGCAATCACCTCATTATACCGAGTCTATATGCAGGGGTAGAGGGACTTGTCATACTTTAGAGTACCGGCTTGAAGTGAATGGTTAACCATCAAAATGGCCCCCAGTTGTGTACCACATTTCTAGATGCGCCTTCATTTACCTGATAATCTCAGGTCTTTTCTTCTTTTCCCTGAGCCCACAACAGAACAAATCTCTCATGTATCAAACAACACCTTCCCTCTTTTTTTTTTTACGTAGCTTTTCTCTCTGCTCAAGAAGACCTCATCTTCCGCAACCCGGATATCTATAAAAAAACTCGGATCTATTCTAACATTCACTACATACAAAAAGAGAAATCCCAAATGCAGCTTGAGCTTCTTCTGCCTTTCCTTCTTCTGATTCCGATATCCGTTGCGCTGTCTTCAAGAGACGCAGAGGTTATCTCGCTGCCTTCGAATGACACGGAGGTTACGCGCTACCTTTGGAAGACATAGAAGATATCGAGCATACAGTCGCCAAGGTGGCACACAGAGTTTGTTCACCCTTTTCTATATGACTTTCTTAGTCATTTCCCACTTTGGCTAACAATGATTCTCGTGAACAGGGATGGCTCATCTGCAAGCCCAAGACAAACAAGTCTGATGTCAAAGAATTCCATGTTAACGTCGATATTGCTAAGGCTCAGGCCAACGCCGCTGGCTTCACCAAGTGCAAGAGCGGCGACCTCACGACTTCAAGAACGCCGACAAGATTCAGTGGGGTGTGAAAGGATGCAACCAGCGCGACGCAGATATGTATGAGTATCCAATCTACTGAGAGGGGTCAAAGATCAAGGAGTACAAAAAGGGCAATAAGTCTGATGATCAGGATAAAACCCCTATCCGCGTCGTGTACGTCCAGACGAAGGACAAAAAGCTCCAGTTCTGTGGCGTCATGATCCATCTCGATGTCCTCGTCGACTACCAGGGCTCGGGGTATTTTGCCAAGTGCAATCCTTGATTTTCACCATTGATTGGCAGGCTTGTGTGGCATCTGCACAAGGTGGCGTCTTTTGAGTGAAACATACTGAGTAAGTAGGGAGGGGTGAACTGGTTGAAGTAGGGTGTTGACTATGAATGCTTGGTAGCCACCATTAATCACACTTCATCTGTTCTATATCTCTGAAGAATTTTCTGTTTCTCTGGGATGATTGCCTAGGCTTCTGTTCAGAAAGCGTGTTCTTGATATCATTTTTTTTGTCCACTCGGTGTCAACTGTGCACCTCTGTCATGGGACTGGCTTTGACGGGTAAAATATCTCGGTGGCCTTCGCAGCCCTACAATAAATTGTAGAGGCCAGAGCGTAGAGACGGCACGAAGTTCATCAACACACCATACACCTCCGGAGATAAGAACTATCGACTCTGAATCTAATCAACTGATTTCGATGTCTCAGAACCTATCAATTGTTGGCTGATAAGACTCCGATCTTCTCCACGCGGCTTGATCTCGATATCCGCCTTTGTGATTGCGCCAAAGGGAGGACGTTGTTTTTCCCCTGACAAACGACCACAAATTAGCTCGAGATCTGCGACTTGGGCATCAACTACAAAGAAAATCCAGGATTATACAGCACAAACAACTTAACCAGTCGATCTCCACAAGGACGTTACTGAATATCTCCTCTACACAAACCCTCCAAGACTTTTGTCTAGCCTAACACCTCCTGCAATGGTTTCTCTATATAAAGACTGATTGAAGATCACACTGTCTTCTTCGTCTTTCTCACTCGCTACTATATTACTTACCTCAAGGACAGATCTCCCAAGCAACAATCCAGGGCCAAGGACCGAGCAATGCCGACCACTGTGTCCCATAACCCCGACTCCGCGGCTTTTCCGCAGTCGGGGCTCCCACATCAGCAGCAAGTGGTCTCCTTTCAACCAGTCCCCAGCCCCACACCCCCGGGGTGTGCGGTCTGCATCCTGAGCGACAAAGCCCTACGAAGCCACGAACTATACTTCTGCGCAAAATGTAAGGCCATGTACCACCGGCCCTGTCTCTACGCGCTACAGCAGCAGCAGCAGGAGAGTCATCAGCCCTCCCCGGCAGCAGCGCTTTTCAGGTGCCGGACCTGCGGGATCGAGTGCGACCAGCCCCAGGAGCAGGATACCCGAGTCCCATCCCCAATCGCAACTCCCAGCCCACCCTCAGCCCCCGCCACCCCTGGAGCCTGCCGACCCTTCATCACCACCCCCTACCACTATACCCGCACACCCGCAGGACTCTACATGTGTACCTACATCTACACAGCACCGGACGGGACCACCCGGTTCTGCAATCTGCAATTCAGCGCATGGCCGAACTACCGCAGCCATCATCACCGGGCGCATGAACGGGCGGCGGATGTAGGGCATTCCTGCGAGATTTGTGGGGTACGTAGCGGTATTAGTGGTGCCAGGACTACGCCCGCGACTGCGACAGCTGCCACTGTCCCTGTCCCTGTCTCTGTCCCTGCCCTTGTCCCGGCCTCAGCCCCGGCCACTACTCTCACTGATTTCCTTCTGGCCGTGGAGGAGGAGTCCAACGAACCACCGCTGCATCTCCTGCCCCCGCCCCTCTTTCCCGAGTCGAAACGAGAGGTCAGCATCATGGCGGGCCCAACACCGACTAACGTTGGCCCAATTCCAATCCCAATCCCAATCCCGGCCCCAGCCCCAGCCCCAAGCCCACAACCCACCACCCCCGAAGACACCAAAAGACCCATCCTCGAGCCCGCATGCTGCTACTACTATTTCAAGCGCACCAAAGAAGGTCACTTCACCTGCACCTTCCCCATCCCCACAAGGACCCGGACCGGAACGCTTACCACGACAACCACCACAGAACCCTGCGGATGGCGCATGGAGACGTCACAGGGGTACAAGAAGCATTTTTGGCGAAAGCATCTGCGTGAAGCCGAGGCGGGGGGCTCTCGCAGTGCCATCAGCACCAGTAAAAGCGGCGGTAACAACAGTACTAGCACTGGTGCTAAGGCCGGTAGGGGTACTACCACCGCCGAAGCAGACCCCGTCCCTGAACCTCGACGGCTAAAGCGCCGCCGACGGTCTTCGCTATCGTCTACATCGTGCGCCTCACTGACCTCTCCAGTACCACCCCCATCCGCCAACCCCATCCAGTTGGAACTGCTCCTGCAGTCACGACAAGAGTACATCCCGCCGCCGCAGCCGCAGCCGCCGCCGCCGCCGCCGCGCATCCGCCCGCCCCGGCCGCGGTTCTGCCCGCTCTGCACGCGGGATTTCGAGAAACTGGGCGCGCTGGTCCCGCATCTGGAGGCCGACCATGCCGCGGAGATTCCGGTCTGTCTGCTGTGTCTGGGGTGTCACCGGGATTGGTGGGGCCTGCTGCTGCATTTGGAGGAGGAGCATCCCGAGTGGGATGGGTTGTTGGGGGATCCGTTGGCGCTGCGTCTCGCCTGGAATTCTGATCGGGCTAGGCCAATATCAACCCATTTCGATGCAATGATGTGAAGAGGCTGCGGCAGGTGCTGTTTGTTTAGTGCGAGGGGTTTTTTTTTTTTTTCTGCGTTCGGGGATTTTATAGTGGAAAGCTGTAATATAAAGACATATACATGTTCGACTGTGAACAACTGTACTTGAACGAACATGCGATAGTAGATGCATACTAAAAACAATGGCAGTGGGTGATTGATGGAACTAGCGCTTGTGAATCACAGTATGTCAACAAACTAGATACTTTCTGCTTGTCGATCCCCCTTTGAATCACAATCTACCTTTTTGTAGTTGTAAGCATCTCCTTTATCCCACCGCACGGCACATGAAGCATTCCACAGGAGTAAGTAATGCATAGCTTCATCCTCCGAAGAATGCAAAATGAGAAATCCCAGCTGCTGCATCAGGAGACCCACCCACTCGCATCTAGACCAGACATGCAGACACTGCATGCAGGCGCCCCACTCTTACCGAGCCTGCCCCCAAAAAAAACAAAAAGTGAAAGCCCAACGCGGGGGTTGAACCCGCAACCTTGAGATTAAGAGTCTCACGCTCTGCCGATTGAGCTAGCCGGGCTGGTTGGTTGAACTGCTGTGCCTTGGTTGCATACATAGCCCTGAGTAATTGTTATTCTGCAGTACGTTGATGGCATCAGCACTTGCACTTCCTATGGTCAGTTTGGGGTAAATGCAGAGATTGCCAAAGGCAATACAGACCTTGTCCCCAAGGCTGACTGACTGGTGCTTTTGTGAATCAACGAATTGCGGAGTTTGTGGCTATGCAGCAAAATCCGGGACTGTGGTGCGGTTGTATATATTGGCGTGGCTTTGCGGACCCCCAAAGTGGTCAGTAGTCCGCTTACACATGCGTGTTGCATATCGTAGTATAGACCGATAGCTTTGACCTGCAAGGCACTGGGATGATCTTCAACATATAAAGCAATAGTAGGTGTTCGACTGACAGTCACGGTACGCATCATCGCATGCTCACCCAGTCGACGGTAACCTAACGGAGTGAGGAGTGCCAAGGCGGATACCCTACCGGGATAGATTAATGCCTGACCATCCAGGCAAGAAGTCATAGCGCAGGTATTCCGACTGGTCGTCTCGCCCACCACAAGAGTCGGCGCTGGTATGCATGGCGTCGTGCGGACTGAGATGGACTGTGCCTAACGTAGACGTACCAGCAGACGGGCCAGTCGTGGAACGGACCGCGAGCCGAATCGCACAACTTGCTATACAGGAGGCAAGAATCCCAGTCTCCGAGATTAACGACCAGAGTGTCGGCGCGTAATCAATATCAAGACAAGGTGTGGGGGGCAGGTCAGTCGAAACAAGAAGTGGGCGTAGGCGAGCGGGAATGAAGGAGGTTGGGAGAAGTGTGAAAATGTAAAAGGTTACCAGATTGTCTAACAGAGGAGATGATGAAAGAAAGGAGAGAAGAACAGATTGCGAGGAAACAGCAACCTCAGAGTGGATGAACATGAAAAAGTAGACGGCTGGAGGCCGAAGTTCTTACAGTACTAGAGCCACCGGTGGGAAGTGTTCGGATCCGAAATCGAAACACAATAGTCACAAAAGACGACAGCCAGCCGGACATCACCCGCATACAGTGCTCCATACTGAACCTGACAACAGACCCACATTTACTAGATACAACGTCACATGTAACCTTCAAATTTACAAATTAATGTTCTGTTCATCATATTCACAAAGAAAGCAAAGCACAAACGTAATCATCACACATCACAAGGCCAGATTCGCGCAGCTGAACGCCGGCGAAACCGCCCCGGCATAGTCCGCAATGATCGCCTCGACGGCCGCATACAGCCCCGGTCCCAACAGAAATAACCCGCACACCATCACAAACACATGGATCACCGTCATGATGCTGCGGCCAGCGCCGGCGAACAACTTGCCCTTGTAGAGTTGCCAGTACGCCACGGCAAAGAAGATGAACCCGAAGAACGAGTCAAACGCCGCTCCCAGCAGAGACAGGAAGTCGCCCATGCTGGGGATGACCTCCGAGAAAATGAAGCCCAGGATCCAGATCGCCGCCATCAGGCCCAGCCACACCCCCCAGCCGATGACCGTGTTGCTGTGCGCGTGGCGGGATCGACCCATCAGATGCCCGAACACGAACTTGGCGCTGACGTTGGCGTAGATAACGGCGATGATCAGAGTGGGCGCGATGACGAACCCAAAGGAAGCCTTCTTGTATGCGACCGTCCCCAGACTGCCGAATGCCGGTGCGGTAGAGTACTGACCCAGGTAGCGGAATCCGATGGCCGGGGGGACGATGAACAAAATGACGGAGATCCCGGTGAGGACGGCGAGGGCCTTAGGGAAGTCCTGCGGACGCTCCATCTCGGCGATAAAGCTTGGGAAGAGGATCTGGGGCACCCAGAGGAAGGTGATGTTGAGAACTGCATTCATGCAGTTGACCCAGGTCGTGCCGGGAAGGGGAAAGGCGTAGGTGCGCACGGGGCCGTCGGTGGGGTAGTTGCCGTTGTACCCATACAGTGGCGCTGTCTCAATCCCCGCAAAGATAAGGAACAGAAGGATGGCAATGGCCATACAGGCAGCTACGGAGGTAGGTTAGCGCAATCCGCCGGGAGTCTAAGATTTTTTTCATCCGAGAACTCACATGAGAACATGGACATGAAGGAGACATGGTGCAGCGTCCGAGGAACGGAGAGCACCACGCCCATGATCGTGCAGATCACCGAGAACACCACCGTGCAGAGGGAGTGATCCGACAAGGTGTTGAGAATCTTGGCCCCGGTCAAGATGTGGAAGCCAATCAGGAGGATGTTGTTCGCCATCAGCATGAACCCGGCAAATGCGTAGGCGATCCGACTCTTGCCAAACGCATAAAATCCGAAGTCGCCTGCCCATGCTATCGTTAGCCTCGATCTCGATTCGCAAGAACCACCAGAGTCCCTTACAAATATTTCGGATCTGCGGATGTTTCATGATGAATTTGTGCATGGTCGTTGAAGTGATCCAGAACAGGATCCCGGAAAGCAACATGGTGATAATTCCTGGCACCCACCCGAGGACTCTAGAAACCCAACAGCCATTAGTACCCATGACACACAATCACGTATCGGCTCAACTCACGACAGCGACCAGGACTGCGACATGATAGCCAGACAAACCTGCTCTCCGCACAGCAGCCACGCGCCCTTCTGCCACGACATGGTCCGGAGCTGGATCTCATGTTGGTTGTCTGTTCCATGCGCACAACGGAAAATTAGCCGCAATCCTCGCCATCAGAATAGTCATCAAGCATACCCTCATTCTTGAGCGCATTCAAGATCTCCGCCGAACTGTATCCATCGGAATCGAACTCGTCGACATCAGCGGGCTGCTGCACCGGCTCCTTCTTCTCGTCGTGGATCATCGCGAAAAGGTTGTGGTAGTTGCTGTTGTCGAAGTGCACGATTCCGCAACGAAGTATGAGGGGAGCGTATTTCCGCGGAGGCTGCAGGGTTTTAAAGAATCAAGATGTTCTAGACGCAGCACTAGTGGTGGGCGGGTTGATTGGGGTGCTATGGCGTGATAGCGCGACCGATGTTCGCGATAAGGCCCCAGATAGCCAACCAGGAACATGCGTTCCTCTTTAGCTTGCTGATGTGCGGAGCACGATGGAGGCAAAACTCAGATGCGAACAACCTATGATGAGAGTATGAAAGTAAGAGAGAGAGAGAAAAAAAATTTCAGCAAGCTAAGCAAGAGCGCTGGGCAGTGGCAAGGAAGGATTCCAGGAAGTCAGAAAGACGACCGATGGAAGAAGGAAACCTCGAGCTGACTGCAGCAGCGCACTGCAGCCCGCAGGGCTCGGAGATGGCCGAATCTGGATTGGGAAGAGGCAGCCAATGTTACCCTGCCATGACCCTTACATAATCGGGGTGACCGTGGACAAAGTGGTGTCACTATGTGATGGTCGCAAATTTCTTTGTGTTGGAGTAATTTGGTTATTTGGTGATTTGATAAATGGTCTGGATGGGCGAGATTAAGTTGACAGCCTTGTGGTTGACACTACAAATTAAGGTTGCGAAGTGTGTTCCTGGAGGGGTTGGCAGGGGTTCCACTGGCTCATGGGCTCATGGGAATTCGCACACCACGTGTGCTCCGGATGGCGTCATTTGGCGATGATGGGCAAACCATGCTAAGCTTTGCAAATTCTTGGTCAACTCAGATGTATGGAAGGCCTCGTATTGATCATGTTTACTTCCAGTGGCGTGCGTGATTCTCGAATCCTGCGATCCTTCGACCAGACCGTAACTTAGCAACGGCTAGGGCTACCGCAGTGCAACTTACCTCATCATCTGATACAATACTTCTGTATGGCCTAGCAAGGCTAGCAAGTTCGACTTCTACCACGGAGTATGTAGCTCCAACTGTGTCGAAGGAAAGTTCCACTTGACTTTGATGGAGTCTCGATGGTGGATAAACCATCATCCCCACAGCAGTTAATCGGCAGCTCCGGAGTACGGGCTCCATTTGTGATACCCACTGACCAACCTGAACAAGCTCTTAAGTTATCTTCCACAAGATCATCGGGATGATCTGTAGTAATGATTGCATAGCTCAAAACAGTACTAAGTACTGTGCTTGATTTTCCTATACAAGAATTTCATTTGTGCTTGCAGAATCTGACCGAAGCATACAGCCACCCAAGTTGATAGTCACCATCTCGCCAATCACCCACACTTAGACCGTGGATGAATGGTCAGTCACCAAGCACAAGTAAGGACTGAGATGGGCCGTGCACACGCACACCACACGCTACTACACAGTATAGTCTCAAAGCAAGGAGCAGATCAAGATTGGGCAGAAAAACTTCAGAATCGAAGGCGGTGAGGTTAAGTTATGGGAGCACTATTCCATTTCCGGTCACTAGACTGCCAGAGTCCGTGAATGCCAAGACCTGCCTGCATTTGTTCAACATTTCTGCCTGACGGATGAGGCAATCAAAATGACCAGAATTTACTAGTCACAACATCATACTCTTTCTATCATACACGGCAATGGCCATGGCCATACACCATGCCCCACTTCAGAAGTTGAACAATATTTTGGATCTTAATGCTATAGGTATATGTTTCATTCGCTACCGACCGAGTTATGATGCTCCGAAAGAATTCAAGGTTAGATTATAGAAGTAAAAGATCACTAAAACCTGCAGAGTAACTCGAAAGCAACAGTGAGCTTCTCTTCAAGCATACAAACTATTCAACTATAGTGAGGTTTATCTTTATCGAACCATCGTTGTGACTTCACAACTAGTAGCATTCGGGAAGCATAACCTTAAAAAGCTCCAACCCCAAGACTTACACTTTCAGCTCTGATAACTCAGTATCACAAACCAGGGCACTGAGGCAGCCGGCACCTCCAACATGATTTTTCCCCTAGCATATCGACGGCTAGCTCGTCGCACCTTAATCTTCGTCTGTATTATTCTGTTGGGGGTGCTGGCTGATGGTGATGTTTGTGATATGCTGAACACTCACGAGTTGCTGTCGGACGGAGTATAACTTTATGAGGTGTGGTTTGCAGGACGACGGATCAGAAGGTATATTTCATCACGTGGGAATATCTGCTCTGTGAAAGTATGTCAAAGCTGTTGTGTTGCTCTAGTTGTGGGCTTGAGGGTACGCAATGCTGTCTTACTGGAGGTGGGAGTCCTAGGCACTCATCAAGGTTGGGACGAGTCTGCGAAATGATGGGGTGGCACTGAGGAATCTGCGTCGAGCGATCCGGCTGTATGCCCTAAGTATGATGGGAGGGAGGACAAGGATGAGGATGAGGATGTGAAAGAGCAAGAGTCGCGTCTTCTGCGAAGAAAATTACATGTTTCCTTGCTCAGGTCAGGAGGATCTGAACTGCAAACGTCTGAAGTGGCAAAGGTGATGGACTGGTAGTAAGGCGCCGTGAGGTGAATGGGCTCTGCTTCAACATACTCTGCCCCACTTTCCTTGCGACTCATCATTATGAAAATGAAAATGGCACCGCCGAAGAAAAAGAAGAGAAATGGAAAAGCTTTTTCCCACGACTCTTCTGGCGCAAAGGCCCTTCTACCACACTCCGTACCGACGTCTCGTATCGAGTCGAACGCTTGTGTGCTGTACTGTGGACTCATCAAGCGTCCAAAGATGTAACTAATCCTCTTCCGCCTGCGAAAATATGTGGAGCGAACATAGCCCCCCGATCATGCATGACCCTGCTCTAATTTCGACCCTTTTTTCGCCATAACACAAGTTAGCAATGGTCAAGGTGAGAAGCTCGGCAGTCCTTGATCATTTGCAAAGTGCTTGGTTGCTAGACGCTAACAATGGCTCGTAAACAGAGTGCTTAGCAATCGAATTGGGACGCAGACAGCATTTGCACAGTCCAGTCCAATTCTCTGACGAGGTATCTGATGTGGGTGTAGGTACTCCTGCATTTCTCCAACTCATCCCGCCACAACACGGAGATCGACGCCGTCAACAACACAAGAAGACTTGAAGTATTCAATTTTCCGCCAAAGGGCCATCAACCTCGGACCAGGTCGCACACCATGTGTACTGTAGAGTACGGAATGCGGAGCTAATTTCAACAGCTAGCATGTTCTCAGGATAATTCTGTGATCAATCGTCAGGAGGTCTGCGCCAAGCAAGACGAATACCCTCGACATACATCGGCTGGGTAAATCCACAGTCCTGGACTGGGCCTCGACACAGCATCCAAGTACGAGTACATTAAAAGCATCAGATATAGCATCCGTGAAGGTGTCGAGAACCCCCAGTGGTTCCAGCCGTGCCAAGACGAGCCGACAAGCAGCGCAGCACAGCCACGATGGAGTCAAACATCCGCGCTCTTGGCAACCCCGTCCTGAAACGCCCTCCTGCTCCATTTGTGGAAGTTCTCCTGGAGCTCAGAGCTACTTGCCAGCTTAGACCCCCGGATATGCGCGCATGTGCGCTTGGCATGTGTCGAAACTCCGCTTCTTCCGCAAAACCCTAGATGAAGCGGTGTCCCCTCCGTCTCAGCAGGAACACCAGCCGACAAGCTTGGCGGGGGTCACTACCGACAGTTGCCATGCAAGAGCTTGAACGTCTTAGTTGATACTCCAGAGGAGATAGTCCTTCCACCTATGGCGATGGGGTCCAGCCAAGCCTTGGGTCGACCTCCTGATGATGTATACCCGTTTAATGAGGGCGCTTGGGAGGTGAACATGCCACCACCAGCACCAGTCCCACAAGCTATAAAGACATTGTCATCCATCCCAGCTGTCCCGGCAATCCATCAACCAACTCACCATCTCACCTTCTCTTCTCTTCCTTCCCTTTATTCCAACTATAGTCTTTTGCTCTCTTTCCATTCTACACAATGACCAACCTCAAGTGGATCATTGCAGTGGCCGGCCTCCTGTCTGGACAGGTCCTGGCTGCTCCTACTGCCACCACCCACGCTAAGCGTGCCACTGTCAGCGACGTATGTTCTTTTCCTCCTTCAACCTGTGCAACACTAACATGGCTACTCCCCTGTAAAGAGTGCTTTCGGCTACGCCAGCTTGAACGGCGGCACCACCGGTGGATCCGGCGGAACCACGACGACCGTCTCCTCGTACGCGGCCTTCACGTCGGCCGTCAGCAGCGACGACAAGAAGGTGGTGTATGTCAGCGGCACCATCAGCAAGGCGGCCGACCAGGTCAAGGTGGGCAGCAACACCTCGATCATCGGCAAGGACGCCAACGCCATCCTGGAAGGGTTCGGGCTGCTGGTCAAGAAGAAGGAGAACGTGATCATCCGCAACCTGGGCGTGAAGAAGGTGTTGGCCGACAATGGCGATGCCATTGGTGTTCGTACGTGCCTACCTATGCCCCCCTTTAGCTAAAAAAAGCATCGAAACTGACGGCTACATGCAGAATACTCCAACAACGTCTGGATCGACCACTGCGACGTCTCCTCCGACCGCGACCACGACAAGGACTACTATGACGGTCTGATCGACGTCACGCACGGTTCCGACTACGTGACCATCTCCAACACCTTCATCCACGACCACTGGAAGGCCTCGCTGGTGGGCCACTCGGACAGCAACTCCGATGAAGACACCGGCCACCTGACTGTGACCTTCGCCAACAATTACTGGTACAACATCAACTCGCGCGGGCCCTCCTTCCGCTTCGGCACCGGCCACATCTACAACAGCTACTACCTCGACGTCAGCGATGGCATCAACACGCGCGACGGCGCCCAGCTGCTGGTCGAGTCCAACGTCTTCAGCGGCTCCAAGAAGCCCCTCTACTCGACCGACAGCGGCTACGCCGTCGCCAACGACAACGACTTCGGCGATGGCGAGAACGCCGCCGACAAGGGCACTTTGACCTCCGTGCCGTACAGCTACACCCTGCTCGGCTCGAGCAAGGTCAAGGGCGCTGTTGTGGGCACTGCCGGCCAGACCCTTACTTTCTAAGCTTGTTTAGCTTAGCTTAGCTTAGCTTAGCTTAGCTTCCCGGGAGGATGATCGGGGTTAGTTTGGGGGTAACGGATAGTGGTGGTGGTTTGTCATTCATTTATTTTCTTAACAGGTTCTGATTCTTCAGAATTCTTTTCTTTTATTCAATTGAGTTGGTATTGGTGATCTTTGGTTCCTTGTTTTTTCATGTAGAAAGGTAGATGTAGTCGTCACCGCTGGCGCCAAGGGAGCTCGATCCGACAATGTGAAACTGCCATGGCCTCGCCAAGGGCTTGTTCGGGCCCCATTGGCACCCCGCTCGGACCAGCTATCCCGCATGGTTCGTTTAATCTTCGGCAATTAAAGGCCCTGAGTGGGTGTGCTTGCGGTTGTGAAGATGCCGGGGTACTGTTAATGCTGCTGTGTTTGAGGCACCGCTTGCTGCAACATGCCGTCCGAGTGACCTGTCATGACGGGAGATATCCCGTGACCGAGCATCCATAGACCACCCGTAAGTCCATCAGGGTACATCACCTACAAAATAACGGGCATACCAGCGTGGTGGCTGAAATAAAAAAACACCAGTCCCTTCAACCGATCACCACCACAACTCATTCCTTCCCCCTTCTAGACAACTTACCTCAGACCCTCCCCAAAAGCCCTATATACACCAACCCACCCCAAACCACTGGCACCCCCTAAGCCCCTAAGCCCCCTTAACCCCCCCATCCAACCTCACAACCCAAACCCTCGTCTCCCCCATCAAAAACATCTCCCCGGCCTCCCCAAACACCAAATTGGCCACCCCACCCTCCACGCGAATCTTCCCCAACAACACCCCGCCCGCCGACCAGACATTGACCCCATCCCCACACCCGGCATACACATTGCCCCGCTGATCCACCTTAATCCCATCCGGCACGCCATCGTCCGCCATCGCAAACACCCGCCGATTCGTCAGGAACGGCTCCCCGTGGATTGTGGTGACATCGAATGCGTATCTGCATCAGCGTAAGGCAGTTAGCATCGCCCCAAGAGGATATCCGCAAATCCACCAACCCGCTCACGGGTGGGGGGGGGAAACATACATCGTCGCCGGCCGCGTCCGATCCACCGTCCCGTTCCCCAGCGCCGCCCCCGTATCAGTCACATACACCGTCCTCCCGCCCGGCGCGAAATGAATCCCGTTGGGTTTGTCGAACCCATCCGCGACGACGCGGACCGCGTGCGTGGTGGGGTTGTACCGGTATACCTGGTTCGGGAGCTGGGGCTGGTCGGAACCGCGTAGACCCTGGATGGAGGCGTAGTCCGGGTCGGTGAACCAGACGCTCCCGTCGGCGGGGTGGATGGCGACGTCGTTGGGGGAGTTGTACGCCCTCGCATAGAAAGTGGTGAGGAGGGGGCTGCTGGTGTAGCTGTCGTTGGCGAGGGAGAGGGTGTAGAGGCCGGCCGGGTGGGTGGCGTCTCCCTGGCCGCAGAGGAGGATTGCGGTCTCGTTGATGGCGGTTCCGCCGTTGGGGTTGGGGATGGCGGGGGTGGGGGTGATGAGTTGGGCGGTCAGGGGTGGCGGGTCGTCGAGGGCGATTGTGGAGATTTGGATCGTGCTGCTGTTGGTCGTGGGGTCGGTGAGGATGTTGCTGGTCATGTATAGGGTTCGGGTTTGGGAGATGTAAACCGGGGCTTCGTGGGCGAAGGCGGTGCTGGTGTTGTGGTTGGTGGTGAGGATGGATAGGGTCGGGTGGTGGCCGGTGAGGTTGAGGAAGTCTGGGTTGTGGACTTCGAAGGCTGCGGGGAGGGACACTGTTGGCGTCCAGGACGGGGCGGGGGTGAGTGCCGTGGAGGTCATTTTTGTGATTTTGGTGGTTGCGGAGAGGGGGGAGGAGGTGGTGCCAGCCCTTGCTTTATTTATCCTTGACGCGGTCCATGTGGGTGAGACGTGATGTAAGGGGCGGGCTGTGTTGGTCAAAGTTATCTGCAAGTAGAGTACTGTACCACTGGGGCCATGGCACCCCGCTGTGTCCTGCATTGCCTGTTTCGGGCCGCTCTGAACCCCCCCCCCCGTTACGGGTCAAGATTGATGATTAGGGTTGGGTTGCATATCTGGCCGGCGACCAATTTGGGCGAGGATCGTCGATCGATGGCTGCTTGTCTCACCGAGGTTTCCCCGGTGCGGAATTGTCGGCATCAGTTGACAAAATTGACTTGAGAGTCGGGGCTATCCTTGTGAAGACTTCCACTCTCTGAGGTTTGATCTCCTGGTGTCACCAGAATTCCCAGAGACATAGCACATAGCGGTAGTAGCATGTAACCGGCTGACATGCACCACACAGCCCCTGGAGGGATATCTGGGGTAGCTCGGAAATCCTATTCCGAGGACGATACTCAGTTCCGGCCCCCATTGCACTTCCCACTGCAGACCCGATTGACTTAGCCGTTTCACTAGCAAGAATAAGCATTGCTGTCATATCTGAATATTCACCATCTGATCTCGACGTTTTCTACAAACCACTAGCTCGTATGAAGCTACATACTGTATGTTTACCATCTACAACAACACTCCGTACAACATTCGTGTTATATAGATCATGTTTGTTACACATTAGCATCTCTGGTCAGTACATGTACTACCAGTTCGAAGCACAGGGAGAGACAGAAGAATACTTAGCCATGCCATGTACATACTTTGAGCCCTGTCAGAGATCCTGTCCAGCTCATTTGGACATGCTGTGTCTGGAGCTCGGGTTGAAACTCTCCCCAGATGGACATATCCATATGCCCATATCTTCTAGAGTGGTGGAAAAGAAAAATTGATTAGAAAAATTATATAGGGAAAAATGCACAGTATGGTTCCCGAGTGGGGATAGCAACTGCTAGTCGCGAGCGCTCACTCTTCACTGCCTATACTTGCACTGTGACTGTAGGTTACTTCACTTCATGGCCCTGCATAGTTTCCAGAAGTAGGGACTATCGACCGCATCCGATCTGATCAGATCACTCAGGGGGGAGAACCTTGATCCACGACGCATGACATCTCCAATCGGCTGCGCAGCAGTGAATAACGGCTGGGCTATGGCGAATGATATGATCTCAAGAAGAAAAGAAGAGAAAAAAAAAGAAAAGCAACGAAACGCGCACCTTTCCCCTTTCGCTCCTTGTTGACAAATGAATCGAAGAATGAGTGGAAAGAGATAGTGATCAAAAACCATCTATACGAACCTCACAATACCCAAGAGCTCAAGTCCCGACCGTGAAGTGTATGCTACCGAGCGACACCAAAAGCCCACCCATCATGACACCTATAGCCCCTCCTCAACAGAAGCGGGATAACCCTCAAGTAGGTAGCGGAGCAGCACCCCCTCTCGCGCACCGCTGCACCCTTATGGCGCGCCCCAGAGCAACACAAGCACTACGCCGGTGTATCAGCCAGCGACCGGCAGAGGTAGCTAGCGCATACAAAGCCCTGCTCAACGCCTCCCCCCCCGCCACGCAAAGTTATCTCCCCAGCATAAGCCGTGGATGCCGTGGCCGGAAATTACTTTCCTTTGGGGCAACGCACCCGCATATCGTTATCATGTGATATGAGACTAGGGCAGACTAACAGAAAAAAAGGTACCGTAGGTACGGAGTATCGAGGAGCCAGGAATGGAATCCTTGTCTAGTGCTCGGTGTCGCTTAGCGTAATCTCCCCCTGTCAGCTTTTAGTGGAGTGGCGTTGTGGGTTCGGGTCTGGACACTGGACACTGGACTGGGAAGCTGCGCTTTGGTTTTGTTTTCTGCTTGAATGTTTGGTGCTTGAAGTGTTTGGTGCTTGGATATTTGTTAGGGGGATTATGGGAATATTATCGTGGGTGAGAATATACGATTGTTATTGTTCAACTCTGCGGAGGAAGTGCTTGGGGATAAGAACTGGAAGTTCTGGTCTTGGGTCTGGGTGTTTGTGCGGACGGCGAACGGCGAACGGTCCTTGCCGCTAACTCAGCTAGCTAGTGACTAGCGGGATAAGGACTAAGCACCCCCCTTCGGCTTGAGATAGATTATGCGGTGATTTCAAAGCAGGGGTACAGTACGTCGTTTGTTCGTTTGGTCTCGCTAAGATTAGTGATATTTACCCACCGCCCACTCTATTTGCTGTGGTTGAAACACGTAGCATGCGGAGACTTATTTGCACCCAAGTGGTAGTTCATCTATCGAATCCTTCTATCGAAATACCAAGCGTCATCCATAGAATAAATTGTATAGGTAAAGGAAATGACTAAGGAATGTGATTAACCCGGTGATTGGTCCTGCTCCGATCACCGATAAGAAAAGAAAATTACATCGGCGTCGTGGTGGTCGTGACCGTCGTTTTGACGTGGGGCACGGGGAAACTGGCGGCGGCCTCGAAGTCGATGCTGCGGGCGCTGCTGCTCTCGCTCAGGCTGGGGCTGTGGCGGGTGGCCTCCTCCTCGGCCTCGTTGGTGACGTGGAACTGGCGCTGCTCCCAGATCTCCAGGCGGGTGTCGTGGATGCGCTCGCCGGACTCGGTGCGGTCGATGGTGGAGCGCAGCTGCGACTTGTCGCCGTGGTTGCGGAAGCGCGACAGGTGGATGGTGGAGCTGTCGAAGCGGCTGGTGAACTTGCTCGTCTTGCGGCTGCGCGTGCGGCTGCTGCGGTCGTACGAGGAGTGGTGCAGGAACCCCTTCAGGTTGAACATGCGCCGGAACAGCGTCCACGTCTGGGGCAGGTTGGCCACGATCACCGCCGTCGCGGCCTCGCGCACGTACCAGTCCACCCACTCGTCGCCGTACGGCTGCGAGATCGAGTAGTATTTCGACAGGATCGAGCACAGGATGACGAACGCCCCCAGCGAGAACACCCCCAGCAGCGTCAGCTTCTTCGTCAGGTTGAGCTTGGCCTTGATCAGCAGCGGCAGCGGGATCGCCATGATCATCAGGTCCGTGGCCACGTTGAGTGCCAGCGAGAGAATGAGGTGGTTGCGGTACACCGAGCACTGCACGCTCTTCGGGGGCACGCTCCAGTACGCGGAGAACGGGTGGCACCAGCCGCCGAAGAAGAGGATCTCGATCAGCAGGAAGCACACCGTGCAGAAGAGGCTGATGCCTTTGACCCATTTGTGCTGCGTCAGGCCCTTACTGGGATGGGGTTAGTGTGTGACAGAAGTAGATTTGGGTGAGGGCGGGTCTCACGTCATGGTCGAGTACAGCAGCAGCAGACACGCCTTGCACCCCCAGATCGTCCCCAACCACATCTGTTCCACCACGATGACCATTTTGCTGCCCAGAATGCGATCGGGGATGGTGGCGGGGTCGATAGTGTCGACCTGGTTCATGGGGATTTCGTTGGTTCCATGCTGGGCGACAAGTATGAGGAAGACCGTGAGTAGTATGTAGAGAATCTAGGGTTGTCATGGTGAGTGCTTGTGCGTTATTGTTGCACGACCAGCAGATAAGTTACGTACCACTGTCACCAGCATCACATAGTCCTCGATCTGCAGGTTACGGATGGAACCCACTTGCAAGGCACGGGAGACAAATCGCATGAGTGCTATCCTGTCCGTTAGAACCATCACACAGACGCATCGGAGTGTTGTAGCATACTGATCAGCAGCACCACTGCAAACCACACCCAGGTGTTCGCACTGGATGTCATCCTGGCGTCCGAGTCCGAGGGGCTGGTGGGGGAGCCTGAAAGCGAGAGGCGGTTTAAGTTTCGACCTCCCTCAATATCCGAGTCATCTGGCTGCTCAGTCTTTAGGAAAGTGAGGGTCGGCCAGGAACCGTAGGGCTGTCGTCTCCCTTTTGTTCCTCCGTCCGGGTCTGACACTTGGGTTCGTGGGTTGGTCTCGTTCGGGGTTGCCTCGATCCAGCGAAAATAGTCAACGGGCCTGACGCCACATCGGCGGGTCAACCAATTCTTCAGGTGGCTATCGCAAAGTTTATCATTGCGATGGATCAAGGAATTGAGGGGGGAAGGAAGAAGAGAAGAGAGGCGACTGGGGGTACGCCCCTTCTAAAATGACTCGAGCGACAAGGGACCACAAGGGACCGTCCGTCTGACTGATAAGAATCGGTGGAAATTCATACGGGCTCCAATTGTGAAGCCAGACCCAGGGCTACGGCGTCCACGGCCCACCCGCGAACCTCGAAACGCACAATGTCGCGCATGGACAATGCCCGTATTGGGAGGGCACTACTCCAGTGCACACGTGGTTCCCTCGGCCGATCGCGGCGATCGATCCAAGAGGCCGCCCTCGAGGAGACACTGTGTGCCCTTGCACCTGCTGAGATGGCAGCGATCGGCACATTTAGAAAGAAAGTTAGAAACCTTTTTTTTTTCTTTGGTGTGTGTGCACTCATAGGGCTGCTTTTATCATCTATACAAATCAATAGCAAGTGGAAGCGTGCACATTTCACGAAGATTAGTTTTCAGGTATTCCTCTGGCCTCGAACGAGCGCCCAAATTCAGGAGTGGCAACCCCAGGAAACCCCGCGAGTGCCGAATTTCAGGGGGAGGACTCCTGAGTCCTGAGTCCTGACCCAGCCAGCCAGCCAGCCAGGCTGCCAGGTTGTCAAGGCAGGAATGATTAAGCAGCCTTGACATCATTTGGGCAGAATGGAGGCAATCTATCTTTGAAACGCTTTCCGCGGTTTTCCTTTGGGCCGGCAAACTTTAAACGCGACCAAGAAAATTCTTTCCCGCATCCCGCACTTGTGTTTATTGTTGTTTCCCGAAACATGTCGCAAGTCATATCTTGGAGCCAAACCCAACGACTGACTGGGTGATACAGTACCAGTCTGATGTTGCGTCTCTGGTTGCCATTTCTTGCGTCGTCTGCAACAGCCGAAGAACCAGATGAATCAGACTCCAAAGTCATCCGGGGGACGGAGAAGGAGAGCAAAGAAGGAGGTCGGATCGATATCGGAGACCGGGATTAGGGCCCTCGGGGCTCGACCGGAGCGGGTCTAGCGCCAAGCTAGTATCCGATAGGCTGTCCACCGGGGGGCAATACTGAGTGAGACTGAGTGTACCTAGTAGTACTAGTTACCTACAGGTGTAATCTAAGGTACCCGGCCTATGTATGGCTGCCAGCCCATAGTCAGTCTAAGGTAGTGTAGTGTAACAGTAGGTCCAAGGTTCCCAGCTTTCAGCTTCCATTCCTTATCACACGAGTCATATAGGCTCCGGAGACTCATAAACCCCCACGGCGGCATCCCGACATCAAATCATCCAGACTGCACGAGCTGGAAGGATGCAAACTGAACTCAAATTCCTCTCGGCCTTGCTTACTCGGGATAATTTAGATTGAGGTTGCTCGTGTCGGTCGGTGTCGCGGTCGAATGGGTATTCTACGTCCGAGGCCGCCCTGGTGCCTGGCCATCCCAAGGTTATGCAGGGATGCTGACCGTGGCGCTGCTGCAACTTTGTTTCTAAGCGGCGCATCGCAGCCATGGCGTGCACAAGATCTTATCGCTTCCAATGAAGCTCTCCCTCCCACCGCGCAGTGCATCAGTTGATCTCGAGCGGGGTGGACTGTACTTATACTTCGCTACTGCTTATGCTGCTTGCAGGGGTCTTATCGAGTCTCTTGCCCCTTGCTGTACCCACCAAAGTAGAACAAAACAACACGATTCACCTTTAATCCGATGTCGCATAGCTGCTCAGCAGTCAGTCAGCCCATACTTTCCATATTCAAACCATCTTGACACCCCATGGACTGAGTCACCCTGTAAAGAACAGGACATGTCTTGGCGGCATTTCTTGTGGTCGCAGTCTGATCAACCCATCTTTACCAGTCGGGTATATTCGACGAACAGAAAGGTTTATCAGATGCCCATCGATCGATTGGCTGGCAATTAACGTTGAGGTTAACATTATAAGATTCCTGCTGTCATGCCAGTGGCCAGTGAGGCGCGTCCATCCCGACTTACCCCAACCCCCGCCCCACACCGCGTTCAAGGTTCCCGAGGCTCTTGCCTACCTTGGCGGATTCGCCAAATGATTCCTGTTCAGATGGCAACGAGCGATTGCCAAGATGAGGGTCATAGATGGTGTATATGGATGCACCAGCCTTGCCTTCTATACTTGAGACACGTCCGAATTGAACTTCCTGCGCAGAAGACTGGGCATAATGCACTGCGCTGTGCGGGATCTCCATCACCACCTTAATGAGCTAGGTTATGATCCACGGGTAGTGGATGTTGTTCTTCCAAGGTGGATACGGGATCAGCGCTCGCAGGTTTTTTTTTTAAAGATTGATAATAATAACTCAGGCAGTGCGCGCGGTTTTGTGTATGCATGTGCTGCAGGGATCAGCGGTCATGTCAGTCTTACGAACACGTACTCGTGGTTATGGATGTTTGAATGACTCGACTAGTTTTGTCGACTAATGCATGCACTGCTGCTGACTAAACATACACAATCTGCTGTGCGCAGTATGCGCAGTATACAATACGCGGGACTCTCCAATGCACCCACGAACCTTTTCCAGAAGCTATCTACACACCGTCTCGGAGGCTGGACTATGTACCCCCCCGAACCTTATTGATTCGAAAGCAAGACAACGGCTCGGGCTTTGTTCGGAGAAGGAATACCGGCCAATGACCATATTCATCCCTTTGCTCCGTGCTGAAGGATTCGGGTGGATCTCCGACCTCGTGAAGAAAAAGGAGTATCAAGGTGGAGTGGAGGGTTCCCGGAGGTTTTCCGGCGCAAGAGCCTCAATGAATTTTCTGGAATAGTGTTTGCTGTGCTAGGTGGGATGTATGAGTAGTTCAGGGTTCGGTGCAGAGGGGACTGACTCGGGGTTGGAGGGGGTGGGTGGTGGGATGCGGCTTGTTCGGACGGATACGAGGCGTGGGATGGTAAGGTCCGCGTGGGGGGAGTTATTGCTTCTCTCGGGGTTAGTCATTTGAGGTCAGTGTTCTGGCTTGAGTACAGGGCAGAAATTCAGTGTCTTATGGTTGATCCATTGATCTGGATTCATGGGGTATCGGCTTGATTGTTACCCGGTCGATGCTGCACGTTCAATCCTGAAGGAGTGCAGAGAAGCTCGGGATATTGGGATGAATATAAATCTTGTCAGGGAAGATAGATCCGAGAGGGAACAAGCCTGTGTCTGCAGGTATACACAGTAGTTCCTAGGCATAGGAGGAATTGTTGAACGTTGCTTCTTCGACTGACCTGGGTATGACTCATCAGCCATGTTGTGGCTAGTATAGTAGGCTTGCTTGTGGCGGTGCCTGGAGCCGAGCTCCCATGTACAGTACAGGAGAGTACGGAGTACAGTGATGAAAAACATAAGACCTTGATGATGTGGTTAACACGTCATCTAGTGATCTTGAGATTTTGTTCCTTTATTTCTTGAGTGCCGATAACTGGCATCGATGCTGGTATTATGTTTTTCTCGATCATCGCTTTTGTCCCAAGTCTACCTACTCACATACACTCCCTGACCAGCTGGGTTACAGCTTGGTGAGGAATGCATTTGGTGAATGAAGGCCAAGGTATCGAAAACATAGCTTGAATAACTATATCACAGTAGCGAGAGGGCCCTTACAAGTTGGATCTCTGCGCCAGAATCGTTTATCTATTGTTCGCTTTGAAGTCAATCCACTGAGTTCCGATTTCTAACTCAGGTGACCAAGGAGTGTGCATGTCACGAACTATACTCGAAGAACGCCAAACATCCATTCTCGAAGCGGCTTTTATAGCTCATTTATGTCGACCACCTGATGCCATTAATATTACTAGTCTGGGAGGCTGAGGAAGGAGTTCACACAGTCAGTTATTTTGATTGTTTTTGTGCAGCTTGCATGGCTAGATTCATAACACAGGTAAATACAAACTACAACCTCGGCGCGATGCTGTACTTGACCGACTTAACGGTGGTCCAACAGTCCAACGCCTCCTCGCCCATGTCCCGACCGAACCCACTCTCCTTGACACCGCCGAACGGGGCGTTGGCGCTCAGCAGCGACCAGGCATTGACCGTGACCTGGCCCGTCTCCAGGGCGGCGGTGACCCGATGCGCGCAGTTGATGTCGTTGGTGAACACCGCCGCACTCAGCCCGTGCAGCGAATCGTTGGCCAGGCGGATAGCGTCTTCCTCCGTGTCGAAGGGGGCGATGCTCTGTTCTCACCGCGTTAGATTCAGTCACCACACACGACATGTTGAAAAGAATACAGGCGACAAAGATCAAAAGATCGGTTAGGAAAAGCGACCGAACATACCGCAACCGGCCCAAAGATCTCCTCCTGCATGATCTTATCCGTCTGCCCGACATCCGCGAACGCCGTGTTCTGCACGAAATACCCTTTCTCCCCGACCTGCTCGCCACCGAACAACAACCGCCGCCCCGAGCTCTTCCCCTCGGCAATGTACCCAAGGATCTTCTCGAACTGGGCCTTACTCGCCACAGGCCCCTTGGTTGTCGTCTCCTCCAGCGGGTTGCCGGTGACGGGCTGGTTCTCCGCCGCGGCCTGCACGTACGCCTCGAGGAACCGCTCGTAGATGGGCCGCTGGACGTAGATGCGCGACCCGGCGGCGCAGATCTGCCCGTTATTGGCAGTGATGCCGATGCGCGTCCAGAGGAGGGCGTTGGCCAGGTCGCAGTCCGCGAAGACGAGGCTCGGGCCCTTGCCGCCGAGCTCCAGCGAGACTTGCTTGAGGTTGCTGGCGGCGGAGGCGCGGAGGATGGCGCGCCCCGCGGCGGTGGAGCCGGTGAAGGAGAGTTTGCGGATGTTCGGGTGGTGGGAGAGCGCGGCCCCGGCGGAGGGGCCGTCGCCGGGCACGATGTTGACCACTCCGGCGGCGAATCCGGCTTCGCGGACCAGTTGGGCGAGTTTGAGGGCGTTGAGAGGGGTCAGTTCGGAGGGTTTGATGATCAGGGTGTTGCCGGTGGCGAGGGCGGGGGCGAGTTTCCAGGCTGTTATCATCCTGGAGCAGGTTTTTAGTATGTGATTTCAGGTTTTGGGGGGCGTGCAAAGGAACGGGGATTGGATAAGGGTTAGGGTGGTGACGAAGGTCTAGCAATGCCGTGAAGAAGATCATCACACGTACAGTGGCCCATTCCAAGGCACAATGGCCGCACAGACCCCCAAGGGCTCGCGGAAAGTATAGCCCACGCCCCCCGGGATATGCAACGTCTTGCCGTCAATCTTGTCCGCCCACCCCGCGTAATACCGGATGGTCGACACGGCCTGCGGCACATTCAAGCCCAAACTGTCGGTGTACAGGATTCCGCCTTCCAGCGCCTCGATGGATGCGAATTCCTCTGCGTCCCGTTCGATCAGATCGGCCAGTTTGTGGAGCAGTGCGGCGCGCTCGGGCCCCGGGGTGGCTTTCCATGCGGGGAAGGCTGCCGTCGCTGCCTTGACTGCGCGGTCGATGTCCTCCGGGCTCGCCGCGGACACGTCTACGAGAGTCTCACCGGTGGTAGGATTCTCGACAGCCAGAGTGGCATTGTTGGTTGCGGGGGTGAATTCGTTGTTGATGAAGAGGGTGGTTGGGACTGAAGAGGGGTCCTGTTAGCTTGCTTGGGTATGTCGAGGGCGGGGAGTTGGTGGAGGGGTACGTCGGCGGTACCTTCGATTTGACGGCCTTTAGAGCCAGTGAGTGTAATCGACGCCATTGTGCTTGAGTTGTGACAGAGAAAGGATTCGAAGCAGACTCGATGCAAGCTGTGGTGCTGGAGGATAAGTATAGTTATAATATAGCATGGCTACGGTGGAGCATCAGGCTGCCCCGCACCGATTCCGTGGGCATTCCGCACCTCGGAATGTGTTCCGACCGGGAGATGCGGGGAACGACTGATCCGAGCAGAGAGATAAGTGTCTGTCAGCTTCGTTTTTTATTACTCGAAACTCGCTACCGATCCGGCTTATGCTGATGACCGATATGCCTGACAGCGCACTTGTGAGACTCTCTGACTGAGCAGGATGGCGCATCAATCTCACTCGCTGGACTCCTCGTTCTTGCAAAGTGGCATAAGCCGGACGAGTACGAGTTTCCTGGATTGGCTTCTCCGTCAACAGTTTCAGCCACCTAGATGGTCCTGTCAGAGCTGTAATCCTCCGCCTGGGTCTGGCTGAATTGAGTTTGTCCCCAGTCTCTGTTCTGATCGCCGAACTGCCGCGTGTCGTCATATTTCAATTCCAACGGGGTCGCACAGCATCCCATCATCACGTACAGCCACCACCATTTCATAATCGCCTGCCGAAAGATCCGGCAATTGACTTCCCAAGTTCTGCGCGGCCGCTCAAAGCACTGCTCATCTTGGGCATGGTGGACCTCTATCCCGAAAGTCGGTCAGCTTACCGTTCACCCCGGACCGAGATTGTCATCTGAGCGTTCACCAAGGGGGCATATTGCACGAAGAGCCAATCCAACCCCTCTTCTGACCTGACTTCCATGCGGGTCGGACATGGATTGTCCTCAGGGGTGATTCTCATTTGAGGGACGACAGAATTGTCGGGGCGAATTGGGCCCATTAGGCCCATCAGGATCGTGCATGTTTGCGGCTTCATCACACGGCATCCCGTTACTCAGGAGACAAAGGCATGCAGCGGGGGCGCGGGTCGGATAAATTGATTGTGGTCCCTGGAAGACATTCAAGAGTTGGAATAACAGCCAGGATAGACTCCCATTCAATCATACTCGCAGGTTGACCAGGATTGATGGTTGGTTGAGGACCCCGAGGATCTCTGCGCATTGACACCGTCAAGGACGGGATGGAGGCAGATATAAATAGGTCATGGCAGACTGCCGAAGTATTTGTTGTGTCTGTCGGAGCGGACACTAGGCGTCTTTGAGTTAATCAATTCTTCAACTTTCCCACACCATGTTGGTGCTTCTTCTGGTGCTATACCATTTCATTGCTAGCACTATAGTTAGTGCCAGGCCCAATGGCACTCATTACTCCTATCACGAGCTGTGGATGCTGCAGAACTATTTCTGGCAGAATTTCCTCTATCCCACTAACCGGGGTCACATCGAGGCCAACGACTCCTCTATCTTCGCAGCCGATGTAGGTGTTATTTTGCTATTTTCAGGTGCAATGGATCGTTTTCCCAATCTATCTCTATACTTATCGGGTAACACGGCCAACACGGCCAACACGGCTGGTGGTTGCCTGTTTCCAGTTTGTATTTACTCACGACCCGTCCCGCTTTTCTCCAAACTCCAACTCCTGCCTTCCCCGCACAACTTCCTTCCACATCTTCGTCTCTAATCTCCTCTTCCATCGCAGGTCCAAGGACGTGTTCACGCAACTCGCACCTTCGACGGTCGCGAACTCAACAACGAGTATATCTTCGGTCTCTTCTCGCAGCCTGACCACCCCGGGATCTTCGGGCCTCCTATCGCGTACAACATCACCCAGTTCGCGGCCACCGACAATACCGCTGCGGCCACCACTCTCATCACCTTCAACATCATCACCTTCCAGCTGGTAGTCCCCGCCGCGATTGACACCTGGTTCCAGTACGACTCCTCCGGCAAGATCACACAGTATGATGCCGTCTTCCGCTGGCTGGATTATCTCTTCGTGCCCCTCATGCAGGCAGCGGGAAAGATGTTCCATCTGAACGATCCAGTCCAGATTCAGAACCGAGTGGCTGCTCTGCTTGCAGACACCATCTGCCAGACACATCAGGACCATTGCCACGGGGCCAACCAGCAGTACGCCTCCAAAGAGGATTGCGTGGTGTTCCTGACTCAGAGAGTCCGCTTCGGCTTGCCATACGAGATGGGCCGGAACACCTTGCTGTGCCGCGAAGTGCACGACAACATGGTGCGATTCAACCCGCCCGTACATTGTCCTCATATTGGGCCCGGCGGTGGCGGGTATTGTGTCGACGACATGACCTACCAGCAGGTGGTGCTGGAGAAATACTTTCGACACTCCTGGGTGCCATATGGATATGCGGATCACAACCCGTGGGTGGCTGTAGGGACATAATGACGGTCAGAACTGATGCAAGTCTCATTCTGTGGAGGGAACCTCAGATTGATCGTGCTGCGAAATTACCTTCCTGGACCCCAAGACGGAGCATGACAGCTGGTTGACTAACTCGTCACGGACCTGACTTGCTGCCTACGATACTGACGACTAGCACATTTCAAAGCCATTCCTCAACATGTGCGGTCGGATTTGACCCAATCGAGTCCAAATTCTGTCTCTGAAAGGGGATGCAACGGTGACAAGCGAGGTGGCACGTTCATCGCCACCAAGAATTCTCAGGGTCCTCTTGGCAGTCGTCAGTACAATGGTCGATCACGCGCAACACGACCTGGCCTTTTCAGCCCACTATATTGTAGCCCAGAAAATGAATGATTAGGCGCCCCGCGCTGGAACGCACTGTTTGTCACGGAAAATGATTGAGACGCCGCACACCATGTCAAACACGCATGGGCAATTGAAGTCCGGAGCAGCTGAGAGCAGTAATCGACGGATTTGTGCTTTTCCGGACCCCTCTCGCTTCATCACTCCGAAGATGCCTAATGGGTCATGTTGGCTTGTGCGAATGCAAGTGTCGGGCCAAGGTGCAATCAATACTGCAGAATACTAAGACCCACTGCGGACCCGTCGCCCTCCCCGGACGATGCTGTCGGCCCAGTTCGTGGAGAAGTTTTCACGTTGCCCCAAGGCTGAGCAGTGTCTCTCCCGCTTTTCTCCTACCATGTGGTGGATTCAACTATGAGCAAGGTGAGATGAGGTGAGCTGAGCATGACTGTCGTGAACCAGAAGATAGGCAACGGGTCCTGCCGCGGAGGTTTAGCGATAGCTTCAGGGCGGCCAAGCCGGACAAATACGGAGTTGAGCGGAACAGCTGGCTTCGGCCAATCTACACTAAACGGCCAATCGGGTGATTTGCGCGCGACGTCCATCGTGGTCCGAACCTACCACTACTCACTCTACTCCTCCTCTTTCTCGTCCCCTATAGCCTTATGGAATATCGTCGATAGTCGCTGTATGATCAGCCTTGCACGGCGACACATTCGCAATTATTGCATCCACGCACTGGGCTATCCACCACCACCCAACCGAAACAGGCCGTTCTTCGACGCCGCATCGGGCACTTGGTTCCTGCGCAAGACCAAGTCTCCGGGTCGAACCCCTTGCGAGGTTTTACGATCCAGTCCGTTACACAAATTGGTCACAGACGGACAACACGCGGAGTGTATACCACCAGCAATAGCACAAGAAGAGAAGTGATCGGCGAGCGCATGGCGTCAAGGTCGAGACTGACACGTTCAACGTGCCAAGCTACTTGGCCCCTGCGCGTGAATGCAGTCTAATCTCGGCGATGATAGTACCCAGTGCAGCTACCCAGTGAGATTGTGGCTCTGCCGTCGGATTTCTGTGTAGCTATCAGCACGCATCCACCATCCTTCACCCCCTCCATCCTGACTGATTACCTCCGACACTACTGCTGGCCGGATTCTCCGCCAACCATGGGTCCACGTCCTTCACGGCAAGACTGCCCCCCGGCTCCGTAGTGGGATGCCGTTTGACTTCCGGTGCATCAGCCGAGCCGCTGACGACTCTATTCGTGCAGATCAGCGTGGCCAGTCGCCAATCAACCCCGCGAGCGAACGACCCAGAAAAGGTGGAGGAGAGGGGGCAGCGATACACTTCTCTGAAGACGGGAGCTCTGTGCGTGATCAAATGTCTGACATGCATCCTAGTCTGGTTGGGAACTGGTGCTCTGTCTCCACCCCCTCGGTGGCCCTCCCCCTGTACCACCCCCGGCACGACCAAACTTCCCCGGCGCAGGATTGAGAGCGAACCTAGGAAAGCATTATCGGAGCCTTTGAGGCGCGTATCTGATCCTGAGACCCTATCAGCCTTCTACCCGAATTATTTTCTTCCAGTTCAGCCAGCCAGTTGTTGAGAGGGCCTCAACGAAGATTCCAGAGCTTATCTGCTTCTTGTCGGATCACAGTTAGGCGTGCTCGGCTCATCACAAGAACAAATCACGATCATTGGCGAACTGAATGGGGGTGTCCAGCTGCAATAGCGGCCAAGAATGCCTAGTATCGATATCTGGTCGGAGTTGACGACGATAATCGTCGGCCAAGGCCTTGAGTTACAACAAGTATGATCCGAGAGGGGGTTGCAGAAAACGGATGCCGGTTCTAGACAGCGATATGACACTGTCCTCATGGCAATCGATTATTGCCTCGCGGACAGACATTGCCCCGAGACCAAATGCAGATGAATAGATATAAAGCCCCTCGTTAAACCCGTCCATTGATCTCAATCATCATCAGCTCATTTCCTTTTCTTCCTCATCACATCTTGACTATCTCTAATAACAATGAAAGTAGCTGATACCCCTGACTCCGCATCCACCATCAGCATGACGAACACAATCACCATCACTGTCGAGCAGGACGGCTACTACGATATCAACGGCTCGCGGCAGGAGCCTATTGTCAATCTCCAGCTGGTGACGGGCGCGTCCAAGCTGCGCAGGCAATTAAAAGAAACCAACGAATTGATTATTTGCCCTGGTGTATACGATGGATTGTCCGCCCGAATTGCAATGAATCTTGGCTTCAAAGCCATGTACATGGTAACTTGGCTTCCTCTCCCCCCCCCCCCCCCCCTGGACTGGTGCTACAGATTCCCCAGTCCGATCCCCATAATTATCCCGACGGGTGCGCTGACGACCCGCTTTAGACCGGAGCCGGCACTACTGCCTCCCGGCTCGGACAGGCAGATCTGGGTCTGGCCCATCTGTACGAGATGCGAACCAACGCCGAGATGATAGCCAATCTGGATCCTTACGGGCCCCCACTCATTGCTGATATGGATACCGGATACGGAGGTAGGCAGTCTCTCTCCACCATCCACCCATTGACACCTCCACAGACCCAAATAACTAACACGAAGGATGTCAGGCCCCCTCTTCGTCGCCAAGTCGGTGCAGCAGTACATCCAGGCCGGTGTCGCCGGCTTCCACATTGAGGACCAGATCGCCAACAAGCGCTGCGGCCATCTGGCCGGCAAGCGCGTCGTCTCTCAGGAGGAGTGGCTGACACGCCTGCGGGCGGCGAAGATCACCAAGGACCGGCTGCGCTCGGACATCGTGCTCATCGCGCGCACGGACGCCCTGCAGCAGCACGGCTACGACGAGTGCATCAAGCGCCTGAAAGCCGCGCGCGACCTGGGCTGCGACGTCGGCCTGCTCGAGGGGTTCACCTCCAAGGAGATGGCCCGCCAGGCGGTCAAGGACCTGGCCCCCTGGCCCCTGCTGCTGAACATGGTCGAGAACGGCGCCGGGCCCGTCATCTCCACCGAGGAGGCCAAAGAGATGGGCTTCCGCATCATGATCTTCTCCTTCTGCTGCATCACCCCGGCCTACATGGGCATCAAGGCGGCGCTAGAGCGGTTGAAGAAGGACGGCGTCGTGGGCTTGCCCGAGGGGATGGGCCCCAAGAAGTTGTTCGAGGTTTGTGGACTGATGGATGCGATGCGGATTGATACCGAGGCTGGTGGTGACGGGTTCTCCAATGGTGTCTAGACTTGGTTTTTCTTTTTTTTCCTTTTTCCTTTTGTCTCTAGCATATTGCTTTTCCGGTGTTGTTTTCTTTCCCTACCCCGTCCCCGTCTATATCCCCCTCTGGGAAATCATTTTCTTTTCTTTTTTCCTTTACTTACATATATCCCCTTTTCTATCCTTGATGGATGTGGATGTGGGAATTTGTACCTAGAAGGTTCCGGGAAATCACGCACAGATACATACCCTACTATGTGGGATATATATTATCGTCTGCTCCAGCAAAATGAATACATCGAATGAAAGAAACAATGATCCTGATCGAGAAGCTTTACAACGTCGTCTAATTCTTATCTTCTAGCTATTTAAACCCTCTGCCTGAGTTCTTGATTGCTTCTTTGTTTTGGTTTTTTTCTTTCTCGGCCCGTCTCTCGCTTCCATTCTTATTTTTGGCTTTTTGTTTTTCGGGAGTGAAATGAATGTCGGGATTTGACCATCGCAGCGATCCTCTCGAAAATCAACAAAACTATGAGAATAATGCGGATGGAACACTTCCAACCGAACGAGGCGGCAGCGTGCTTATACCCAGCCCCCTCTGGAGGTTGTCATGCAGCCTTGGAGGGAAAGAGTGGGACTACCTTATACGTACTACCATGTTCATGTATCCCGTGTCGATCATTAGACTGACTACGTAGCTGGGGGCTGGTTCCTTGATGGACTATTGGGTAATATTATTTTGTTTCAGGGATTCTCGGCGGAGGCGGAGTATGATTATTCAGATTTTCTTTTTCTTTTTCGGGGGTGATGTTTGATTTTCTTCTCTTGTATAGTCCTTAATGGGTAACTACTAGCAGGATATGGTGTTTATATGCCAAGGGGGTAAAGATATGGTGGGGTTTATACGTTGAGCTGTGGAAGGAAAAGAAGAATTATCGAATGAGACTTTCATCACACATGACACATACACGTAAGGACATCGGAAGGGGAAGTATGTAACATGAATGAGACTGGGGATTGGCGAGAATGAAATGGTTGGAGAAGGAAAGAAAAAAAAAAGAAAAAGAGGTAAATCCGCCCAACGACGCTGGCTTCATCAAGAACACCTCAACTCAGAGACAAAATAATAGGTTCGATAAAACAGTAAAGAGTATCAATCATGAAGCGGAATCAAATCAATAAGGAGGTCTCTGATGCCTGGACCTCCCCGAGGCAGCCCATTGGAATGTACCTGAAAGGGGGGCTCTACTCCAACGACGTCTCCTGATGCACCACGATCCGCCACTCGCCGTCGGACCCCTGGCTCCACGTCGTCGACCCCGTGCCGTTGAAGTGGATCTTGCCGCGCAGCCGCGCGTTGATCTTGTAGGTGACCGTGCCCGCCATCAGGTCGATGATGAGAACGCGCACGTCCTTGAGCTCGTACTCCTCGAAGTGGTGGAAGGGCGGCTTCAGCGCCTCCGACAGGGACGGGTCCTTGCTCTGCAGCGTGAGGATGTCGCGCTTCGGGAAGAGGAAGTTGGCGTCATCGTTCGACATCTTCTTGATCTCGGGGCCGGGGTCCGCCGAGGTCAGCGCCGTCCAGAGCCGGCGTTCCATGGCCAGGAGGTCGTCGCGGATGCGTTCGTGGATTGGGGCCATTTTGGGCGGGTTTTGTGTTGGGGCTGGCGGTGGGGTGCGGGTGTTGTTGGTTTCGATGGTAGGTTTTGGTGTAGGTTTGTTGCGGGTGTGGTTTTAGGAGAGACGATTGTGTTGAGATCTGGTTATCTGGTTAGTTGGTCGTTCTCACTCCAGTTCAAGGAGGAGAGGGGATGCGACGTACTGAGGTAGACTCTCGATATCTCACCGCAACGCGCGCGCAGGTTGGTTTAGATGGCGGGTATAGAGGCAGATGTAACGTTGTACAGAGTATAAAAGGAAAACAGAACCAGAAGGTTGCGATGCCAGGAACAAGATGGAAAGATGAGGGTCGACGGGGGGGGCAGCCCAGCGGTGACGTCATGGGCGTTGTACCCCAGGTGGATGACGTCGCGACACTCTCTCTTTTCGTGTCCTCAGTATATGTAATCTCCCCCCTCCTCTCCCGGTCCCCGTGATGGCAGAGGAAGACTCAGCCGTGTCATGTCATGCGATGACCGTCTGGCTCTCCTGTGGACCGTAATTTGGCGAGATCTGCGTTACCGGATGACGCAGGTGAGGATAGAGGGGTGGTGACGCAGTGGGAGAGACTGAGCGAGGACATGGCTGCACGGGGTGACTTCAAGAGGGAAGAAAAAAGAGGATGAGATAGAAGAATATGGTTGAGAGTTGGAATGCCGAATGTAGTTGCTCTGGACTGTGTTTTGGCAGGTGTCAATTGAGGGGAGAGGCTGGGGTGGTGATGGAGACTGGCGTTGCGCCATGGTGTTGCTGGTGTTGCATCGTATGCAATGGTTGTCATGTTTGCATGCATCGGTGCAAACAGTGCATTATCCAGGTCATGTGCTTATTTCTGTATGCCTGAGGCATCATAACGGGCCGCTATCTCTAGCCTTCTACTCGTAGTTCCACTTCCCACCGCTGCATCGTGCATAAGCCTGTGACAGACCTGACTGCTTCCAATCACAGATCTTTGTCAATTCAGCGAATCACTATTGAATCTTCCTCCTATAAGGCTACACAGAGACCTGCTACCTAGTCGCTATCGCCTCAGGAAAGCAACTAAGGGAAAAATCATACCTTCCAACTGCACTCAATCACAGGCCAACAAAAATCTTCCCAAGCTCTGAGTCACCTCGGCCACAGCCTCGAGCCAAGGAGTATCCGCATCCAACCGGTATACCCAAAGCAGCCCGCGAGGCTGGGTCAGACACAGACACAGTGACAGCCTCCATAAGACTTTCGTGACGGCGGTTACCCAAGGGACAATCTTCAGCCAGGTCTCCACCAATGGAACGATTTAGTATAATCTGGAAGGCGTTTAGTCGAGATGTGGGCCTCTAGCTTTGGCGCGGTGGCCGAGCTAGTCTCATCCCTCGGATTTCTAGAGACGGCTTATCTCTCGCCATGAAGGTGCGGGATCGCAACACATCACAGCCGATGAGACAAGCAGTACACGAATCTTCGCCATATCTTCGTTCATACCTCGGCGGAGGACAATGGTTGTTGAGCAGCAATTTCGCTTCACTGAAATTTCAAGGTGGCGGGATCGCTTTGAGACAGGGAGTCATTGCAGACGCATGTAGCCTGAGATGCTGTAGTAGATAAAGCACAGCAAGGTAGCATTGGCAGAAGGCTTGCAATGCCCTCAATCAACGAAAAGCCACTCGGAATAATCAGCTTCGAAGAGTTGGCTGCCTAGTGTCCACTGCCAGCCCCAACAGCCGGTCACGGACCTTCCAGTAGCATTGGGTTGAGCGATTTTCAGCCATTGGCGACCAGGTCTGAATTTTTCCGGCTCATTGGGACTTGTCAGTCACGGATGCCCTGGGAAGCTGGGAGGTGGTGTCTCCATCGCTGAAAAAAGCCTCATAATTTTTTGGTTATCATGGTTCCAGCTTCCTCAAAAACGCAGTCACGTGCCATAGCGGCAAGAAGCTGCCTCGAAAGAATTCTTCGAAGCTTCCCCTCAACTCTTTTCCCCGTCTACTCCGGCTGATTTACCCACTTCCCCGCCTTTTAGCTATCTTTTTGACTTCATCTCTGGCTGTCATGCAGGGAGCGGCCACCTCCGACGAAGGCAAACGGTGATAGTGACCCCTTCGCCATGCTGGGTGTCTTGCCCTGTCTGGGAGGATGGAGAGTCAACAAGGAGTCCGGTGGGCCGCCGATAACTGACCCTCCTTCTGACTGGAGGGCGAGGGCGCGATAAGAACCAGATAAATGAAGCTCCACCGCACAAGACGGGTGCCCTTATCGCTGATTCTATCCTCCTCAATCTTGCGCTCGAATCTTATCACTGGCAGCCTTTCTATCTTTCGGATGTCTCCGATCGGTTCCTGCGCTAGCTGTGAACTCAGCGACTGTAACATGTCATCTTATGCAGCATCATTGACCAGCTCAGGTGTTCACGCTTGTTCACGCTGGGAGTTCGTTATTGCTGGAGATCACCCAGCCATTTTCTGCAGCATTGCAATAGTGGAACCACGGAGAACAAACCGTGGCCGGCCTTGGCCAAATCACGTTAGATGTGGGGATTCTTCAGCCAGAAGGCTGGTTCGGTACCAATAAAACGACAATCATTGGCTGGCTGGATAAGCTGCTTCGACTGCCGATCGCTAGGTACTCCTAACTTATCAGCGCTGATCCTTCCTAATCAGCTCATCTATGGATAATGGATCCCAATTTTCTCTGCAGGTGGGCTTGCACATGGATCGGTGCTTGCCGACTGCTTCCCGATGGCTTCCCGCGCGAAGCCCAGAAAAATTCTACCGATTGTGACTCTATATAAGAGGTGTTGCGCGACCTCTCACTGGGAAGAAAGCGTGCTCTCTCCCATTGCCAAACACGCACAAGATGCAGCTCCTTCAATCCGTTACCGCGGGCCTCCTGCTCGCCGGCAGCTGCTTGTCTTCCCTGGCTGTGGCTCGCTCTGTTCCCGTGCAGCAGCCCCGCGATGTTGTCGTGAGCCACACGCCGGCCAAGATCACCCCTAAGGTGTTCATCGTGTCGATGGTAAGCCCAGCACCTTCTAGCACAGCATGATCCCAAACTCACAATCCCTGCAGTTTGCGCCTGAGGCCGAGATCTGGTGGGGTATCCCCGAGTTCGATCTGTTGGCTCACAACATCACCATCCCTGGCGCTTCTCCCGCCTTCCCCGATGTCCACTGCACGGCGGACTACACCATCTGCCAGCTCATCACTGGTGAATCCGAGATCAACGCTGCCATCACCGTCGCGTCGGTCGTCTTCAACCCCATGTTCGATCTGACCAAGACCTACTTCCTCATCGCCGGTATTGCCGGCGTCAACCCCGAGCGCGCGAGCATCTGCGACGTGACCTTCGCCCGCTTTGCCATCCAGGTGGCTCTGCAGTACGAGATTGACATGCGCGAGATGCCCGCCAACGCTACCACGGGCTACTTCCCCCAGGGCGGCTACTACCCCGATCAGTACCCCACCAGCATCTACGGCACGGAGGTGTTCGAGGTGAACGACGAGCTGCGCAAGATCGCCGCCGGCTTCGCCCGCAACGCCACCCTGGCCGACAGCGACGATGCCAAGGCCTACCGCGCCAAGTACGCCACCGAGGACGGCCTCTACAAGGCCGGCACCCAGGGCCCCTCCGTCCGCCTGTGCGACGTGACCACTAGCGACGTCTACTTCAGCGGCCGCCTGCTGGGCGAGGCCTTCGACAACACCACTAAGGTCTGGACCAACGGCACCGGCGAGTACTGCACCACCGCCCAGGAGGACAACGCCACCCTGGAGGCCCTCGTCCGCGCCTCGAAGCACAACCTCACCGACTTCTCCCGCATCATCGTCATGCGCACCGCCTCGGACTTCGACCGCCCCTACCCCGGCGAGACCGCCCGCTACAACCTGCTCTACTCCACCCAGGGTGCCTTCGAGCCCGCCGTCGAGAACCTGTACAACGCCGGTATCAAGATCGTCGAGGGTATCCTGGCCAACTGGAACAGCACCTTCGCCGCCGGCATCAAGCCCCGCAACTACCTCGGTGACATCTTCGGCACCCTCGGTGCTACCCCCGACTACGGTCCGGGCCGTGCCCAGGCTCTCGAGGAGGCTGGCGCCATCCTCAAGAAGCGCAGCATGGGCAAGCGCTTTGTCCGTTTGTAAAGACTATAAACCTAGAAATGTTTACGATCATGTGTGCGGGATGTAATGATAGATTAGAACAATATAATGTTACACGTTAGTTTGGTGTGCGACCAGCTTTTGTTCATTTTACTACTTCCATCAATTCTTACTCTGCGTCAGCCAAGGACAGCCGTGGAGATTATGCCATGTGGGATGAATTAGCACTCCCGCCTGAGGGCACAAGGATAGCATCGGGAGGTTTAAAGCTAACGTCTCCGGCCCGACACGTTGAACTTCGCCCCAAATTTTAAGGTTGGCCTAAAAACAAGCTTTCCCTCCCCCCATGTAATGATGACTGTTCTCTCGTTGGCTATATCGCTCAATTCGATAACACACATAGCACCATGCAAATGGAACAGCGGATTATGTAAGTTCGATATAATATGAATCTATTGTATTGCTGAATATCGAAGTATACGACCACAAATAGATGTATCACAAAAGGGAGCATTCAGTGACGGGCTAGTGTGAGCCTCAATCCCAAGCAGACATCGTATGGTTATGGACACGGACTCAGCGCGCCGGCTCTGCACTGGCCTCCGCCTCAAGATCTGGGCATTGAACAAGGGTTAGAGTTTTACCTGTTGCTCGGCTCTGAAGGACCACATTCGGTGATCTACATGAGTTACCGCTTCGACGTGCCGAAATAGCAAATCGTGGTGGCTAACGACCACGCCCGGACGTTGAACTCATATATAGGCTGATTAGGGCACGAGGTGCGGCCGGTGTTTTACCCAACGTGGATCGACTTTGTGTTGGTTAAGCTTACTTTGCGGCGCGGGGGGGTGGCTTCATCTTGATCTACGCTACGCAAGCTTGATTTAATTTCACATGCATGCTGTTAGAAGCAGACTGTTTTGTCAACATCATGATAGTATTGCCCATGCCGCGAAGACCATCCAGCCTCAGATGCGGGGATCTCAGTCAAATCGAGGGATTGCGGGGTCTACATCCGGGATTTCCGCGATCCATAGAGCATACCTACAATACATGCAAAGCACGTACTGTACAGTATTCTCTCCTAATCACTCCGGCAACAGATGACACAAATGCACTCCCCTTCCCATTTCCCAACTCAATCCGACCTCAACTCCTGCACCAACCCCACCACATCCACAAAGTTCCTCTGCACAAAATCCCCAACAACCTTAGGGATATACCCCGGAAAGCCCCGCACGATCTGCCCCAACGTCCCCCACGACTGCTCCCCGTCAGTATCGTACGGCAGCGTCCCCGCCAGCCCCGTCGTGTTGAACGAAGCATACACCACCGGCACCTCGTCAAACGACACCCCAGCCCCGACAACCACCTCATCCAACCCCTCGGCGCTCAACAGCCGGACATTCCCCACCGCCGCCATCGCCAGCGGCGCCCCGGCGTTGACCGCGTACGTCCGCGCCGCGGCCACGTTGATCTCGTTCGACTCCCAGTACTCTGCTCCCGGGGTGTTTTCGTCGGGTATGTCTATTTTGATCGAACCATTTCGTTAGCTGCTGCGTGGCTGTGATTTGAGGGGGGGGGGGGGTCGCTAACAAGGCCAAGAAGCAATATGCAACGTCTCCCGCTGCGCCTGGACGTTAAACGTCATCGCGGGGTGAAAGTGCTCCCAGCACTCGAGCAGCCCCCAGCGACCGTACGGCGTTGCGATCACCTGCAACCCATCCAAGGTCCCGTCCGACCAGATGGTGCGCTCACCGCCGGAGGGGCGGAGTTTATGCCGCAGCAGCAGCGTCTCCCCGGCCGGGGAGATCAGGGCCTGAGCCATGAAGATGTGGTTGTCGACGCGGTGCGAGAAGGCGGGGACGATGTAGATGCCGTGGGTCTGGGCGGCGGTGAGGAGGCGCGTCCATTGCGGGCTGGGGATGGTCAGGGAGTTGGTTAGGTAGGAGGTGAGTTGGGCGGGGGTTATGCTGGTGTTGCTGGCTAGGCCTTTGGGGTATCTATTGTGTTTCGCGGGGGTTAGTGGTTGGTGGTGCATGGTGCGAGGGGGGGTGTGGGGATGGAGGGAGGGGTGTGCGAACCCTGGGAACCAGAGTTCGGGAAACACGATCAGGTTGGCGCCGTTGGAGGCGGCCTCGGCGATGTAGTCGACTGCTTTGGCGACGGTGGCGTTCAGGTCGAAGGGGACGTCCGTCCAGTTCTTGTTCATCACTGGGAGGGGCCAGTTGGCTGGTGGAGCGCGGACTACCGCTACCGTGAGGTTGGTGTAGTCTTCGTGGTGGGTGGAGGTGGCATGGCTGGTGCCGAGGAGGCCGAGGGTGAGAAGACAGAGGGCATGCATCTTCATCTTTGGGTAGATTCTGTTAGGTTGAGGAGAGGAAGATGTGTTATGAATGTCTCAACGGCATACTTGTACTTATACCTCCTCACTTCTAATCTGGTGCTGTGCGATCTTGTCATCGTGTCTCTCCTGATATCTCGCTATCTCCAGCTTCCTGATACCCAGGTCAACGAACAAGATAAGGATCATCGGCATCCCGGGGTTTGTGATGCTCCCCTTCACGCATTCAAATCCCGTGCCGGTTTCGGGGGCGCTGGGACCTGGAGCTTCTGATAGTCAATACCCGAGGAGCCGGGTCTTCTCACTACCGGATTGTGGAGCACTACGATAAGCTTAACCAGTCCCGGAGTACCTTTCTGGTACTATGGTTGAGCGAAGCATCGTGTGGCCTGGATAACCCTTTCGTGCTCCGGGTAACGTATTCCTCGAACCCGTCTTCAATCCCGCTTACACTCAGACTACTGGGCCTTTGCTCCAGCTGCTATTTAACCTTTGTTTTTCCATCTGACAGAGTGCTTTATAAAGTTGTAAAAGGAAAGGTCATTGTGGTATGGTAACGCTCTGTTGAATTGAGTCTGGTCATATGTGCCGATGAATGTCTGCTTGTGAATAGCGTCTGGCGCAAATGTGTACTGTGTTTACTGAAAATAGTTGTAGTATCTTTGAGGATTTGACTGGTGATTATGTATATTTGTTCCTGATGCAAGACGTACTTGACTGACATAGAACACTTCTTTCCGCCAATTCCAGGGTGGAATTCGAAGGAATGCTCCCACCCAAGCCACACCAATCTCTCAACAGCAATCCAGCCACTACTCACACCGAACTCTTCAAGACTTCGAGAGATACATTTTGGCTCACACAGTTGATTATAGATTATAGATGGACGTCAACCAATCAAATGCCGCCGGGCCGAAATACTGCAGTTCCCTGCCGAGCCCAGGGCTCGAGCTCGGGCTCGTGCATAAATCATCCGTTTTAGGTTTGTTGCAGAATTCTCCTCCGCGAACCAGGCTTTAAACCTCGATTAATCTTGTTTCAAGAGTATATCATGCACTAGGGTTGGATTTCCCTGTTGGGTTGCATCATCGGGGTCGATATTTCCTGCTTATTTGATGTGTGCCAGGCTGCTTCTTATGGAGAGACAGTCCAGGTGACCGCAGGTGCAGCGCCATTCCAATGCCGGTGCGCGGAATCAGATCATCGGACAGCCTTCTGAGCCTGGCGACGTGCATGTTCATGAATGTAAACAGGAAATCCTGCAAAGTAGAAGACTGCAAAAGACATCCCTCGACATGATGCTCCCTGGAGAAGGCATACATAAGTTGAGTCAACATCACTGGGAAAACCTATCTCTGGACCAAACCCTCCATTCAAAGGACTGTGCAAACACCCCTCGTCTTACCAGACCTACCACAAAAGCGTCCCGGAAGACACCGCAGCCATGCCCAACACCGCCACCCCGGAAGCCTGGCGCATCAAGACCGTCGAATGGATCCGCTCCTCCACCCCCGAGCAACGCAAACAATGGATCCAAGAAGCGGGGTACAACCTCTTCGCCCTCCCCAGCGACCGGGTCTTCATCGACCTGCTGACCGACAGCGGCACAGGGGCGATGAGCGACCGCCAATGGGGCGCGATCATGACCGGCGACGAGTCCTACGCCGGCTCGTCGTCCTTCCACCGCCTCCAGCGCACGGTACAGGACCTCTGCGGGCTGGAGCACATCCTGCCGGTGCACCAGGGCCGCGCCGCGGAGAACGCACTCTTCTCGGTCCTCGTGCACGAGGGCCAGCTCGTCCCGGCCAACGCGCACTTCGACACCACGCGCGCGCACATCGAATTCCGCAAGGCCACCGCCGTCGACTGTCTACCGGACGGCGCGTACGATGTGACCGACCGCGACCATCCGTTCAAGGGCAACATGGACCTGGACCGGCTGCGCGATCTCCTCGAAGACCGCCACCAGGATATCCCCTTCGTCCTGATGACCATCACCTGCAACACGAACGGCGGCCAGCCCGTCAGCCTGGCCAACCTCACCGCGGTCAAGGAACTCGCCGACCGCTACGGCAAACCCCTCGTCATCGACGCGGCCCGCTTCGCCGAGAACGCGTGGTTCATCCAGCAGCGCGAGCCGCAGTATCACGATGTGTCCATCCGGGAAATCACCCAGAGGGTCTTCGCGCTGGCGGACGCGATGCTCATGAGCGCCAAGAAGGACGGCCTGGTCAACATCGGCGGCTTCCTGGCCACCCGGCGCCGTGAGTGGTGCGACCAGGCGCTGGAGTATGTCATTCTGTTCGAGGGGTTCCGCACGTACGGCGGCCTTGCGGGACGGGATCTCGGTGCGTTGGCCGTTGGGCTGGATGAGGTTACGTCGCCGGAGTATCTGCGCTCGCGCATCGGGCAGGTCCAGCGGTTTGGGCGGCGGTTGGCTGAGGCGGGGATTCCGATCCAGTTGCCGGTTGGCGGGCATGCGATTCTCGTTGATGCGGGCAGGTTCCTCCCGCAGGTGCCGCGCGAGGAGTATGTGGCGCAGACGCTGGCGGTGGAGCTGTATGTTGAAGGTGGGGTGCGAGGGGTGGAGATCGGGACGTTGCTGCAGGGCCGTGACCCTGAGACGGGCGAGGAGCGCTTCGCGGAGACGGAGTGGGTGCGGCTGGCGGTGCCGCGGAGGGTGTATAGCGATGCGCAGCTGGAGTATGTGGCGCAGGCGTTGATTGCGGTGTATCATCGGAGGTCGGAGATTACGCGGGGGTTGCGGATTGTGGAGGAGAAGCCGGTGTTGAGGCATTTTACGGTGCGGTTGGAGCGGAGGGCATAGTGTAGTAGAGATATAGATAGGTATTGTCCTACATTGAAGTTAACGTTATGTTTTGAGGGCAAGAATGACATTTGATTGTGGAAGGAAACAGGAAGGAAGGGAGGCAAGAGAAAAGAAGCAACAGACGCGTTATATCACAGGATAGTTGTTAGCTCCAAGGGCACCACCTGCACAGCCAGAATGTGATCGAATGGTCTACAGGTCCAGGCCAACGCTTCCGCCTTGTGAAAGTACAGCATATCCTTCCAACTAATGCCGATCTCCTTTGCGTTATCTCCCCATTCTTCCGTTGAGATATTCCGGGCGATTTCTACGCACCAATGCTCTTCTCCGGCGATCTGGTGCGAAACCCCCCCGGCCCACTGCTTTACAAATTATGAATGGCTTGTTCCACCCCTACCTTGCCTTTTATTGCAAGGTCTTTTGGAGCCATTTTGAGAATTACAGGCTAAGGAGTTACCAAGTACTGTACTTAGTCACTAGCTAATAGTTAGTAGAGCATTTATCTTAGGATTGTCAAGGTGATCAAGATCTATACTAGGATTTTTAGCGATCATTATCATGTTAGAATCTTTTCGTGGTACATGTTTGTCTTCTTATGTTATAAGGCTCATGTTAGGAATATAAGGTAACTTATTATTCATTAAAAGTCACGGAGAGATAAGAACAGGTCAGGCTGAATACACATCACACAAGCGTTCATCAAGACATTAAAATATGAGCCATAACTTACACAAGGGCAAGATATCATAGAGAAGCGACCAGTAGTATACATTACTATTCAGTCTAATCAGAAAAGGAGTAGTTGATTCAGTACTATACACGCCTTCAGAGCTATGTGAAGATAGTATATGTAGGTCCCAATCAATTACTCAATCTGTACCGACAGCCTTATCAGCATATTCAGGATCATATACGAAGTGGCTAGGTGGTTTGACAGGTTCGTCGTGCCGCACAGCGCGCATAGGCATAATGTAGTGGATCTGGAGACCTCCCTCGAGGTCCAGCCGGGAGATTGCGTGCTCAATCACGCTCCAAGCTTCAGCACCGATCAGCTGTTTTCTCCCAGAACCAAGACGATCGCTCCGCCAGGTGACACCACGCCGCCCTTGGGGTGGCTGTGCCCCTAGCGCAGTGCTGAATTTCCAGATCGGCCGCATGAGGTCCAGCTTCCACCCATCCTGTACAGTCATGCATTCCCCATGGTTCGGCAACTCATTCATAATCACCACCACCCCCTGGACCGAGCCGGGAAAATCACCGTCCGCCAAGCGCCTATCCCATAGCATGATGTTTTTCAGGGCGTCCGGGTCCCACCGCAACAGCGCCAGCGGCACGGCCAGCGGCGGGGACATGCCGCCCCGTATCTCATACTCGCAGAGATGATAGCTCCACAATCGGCTCAGCTTCCAAGCGGTCCCTGGCGGGTGCTGTCCTCCGCGGCTACAGCCCAGCACGTCGCGACAGCGCTCGTACTCTGCCTGGGACAGAAAGAACCCGTCCGAGAACCCGCCCGTCTTGCGGAGGAAGAGCCGCGGCTGCGCAAGCGCGTTCCGATCCCCGTCGAACCAGGTCGCGCACCGCCGAGGGTCCACACAGCCCTGGTGCGCCGCTAGCCACCCCGCCTCTTGCTTACTTGCCCAGCTGCTCGCCGCCGCCCGCGCCTCCCCATTGACCCCGAAGTGGGGGATCCGCTGCCGATACTGGTACAGCGGTAGCTGGCGCTCCTTGGCCTCTTCCCTATCTTCCTCGGGGCTGGACATCTGCCCCGTGGCATCCCGGGGCTGCCAATTCTGTTGCTGCAGGGGGTAGAAAAGAGGCCCGAGCTCCCGAGGCTTCCAACTCAGGGCAAGCTCGTCCAGAGAGAATAGCCAGATCAGGTCGCGGAGCTTGAAGGGGAGGTCGGAGAAGTTGGGGAAGGAAGTCAGTGAAGACATCTTCGGGGCAGCTTTCAAGGTAACTCTCTATTTTGTGGAATGTGCAATGGCGCGAGGTTAGCCAGGAGTCAACGGTCTATGGTCTTGGTAAGAGCCACTTCAATACCTCAAGATAGGTCCTTTTGTTACACATGATGAATGAGCCATGAGCTCATGGACATAAAGAGCCCGCCCCTCACCCCTCCAGGGTGAATCGATCCCTTCTGGAATTATCACCAACCGAGCTTGTCTACTGCCAACGGGGAACAATGCTCATTGTCCCTCGCAGTAAATGCCCTTGTCTCGACCCGGGCGATAAAGACAGGTCACGTGCATCGACGGCTTATACTTCTCATTGACCCAATCAGATCGCATTGACAGCTCTTTCCTGAGAGCCCATGTTTACCTGGTATTGCAATTCTTACCGCTACCATCTGGTAGACAAAAAATAGATTCAGAGACCAGACAACGGCTGGGACATGCAATTTGGCACATTCTTTGTATTTTGATGGTTGATTTAAGGTTTAGATCGTGTGCTCAATACAGTCTTGTAAATTGTCTAAGCAGAATAAAAGTAATATATGCTACGGTGTGAAAAGTCTTTGGCAAGCAGCTGTAACCACAGCGACAAGGAGCTGAGCACCGTCATCCCTCTACCTTTGATACCACGCGTACTCCTAGGTTCAAGTCAAAGTCCAATTCGTATTCAGAAATCACCTACGCCCCAATCAGGACAACCACAAGCTCTGAGGGCTGGCTAGCTTCTTGCCCATCACATCTTGTATCCAGAACATCAAGAACCGTCTCATCAGTAGCAAGACCCATCAAAAGCTACAGCCACTGGAAAAGCAAGAGCCGGGATATGGCAAGCCTCTTCTGGACCACAAGACGGGCGTGGACCCTCTACGTGTCTGAACGCACCCTCGATCAGATGGTAGAGACCGCATCACCCAAACTTGAAACCCCTCATCCTCATCTCAAAGCCTCTACCACCACCACTACCATCACCACCAGTACCACCAGTAGTCGCATACTCAACCGCCCGCTCAATCACCTCATAGACCTCCGCATCGAACAACCTCTCCCCAGCAGTCCAATGGGTCCTCGAGCAACCCCGATCGACAATCATCGCCCTACCCCTGTCCCGGTAAGCAGGATCCACCGTCCACCGCTGTGTTCCCTCCATCTGTGCCCGTGCGTGCAGTGCCTCCAGCCCATCAACGACCACGAGTATCAGTTGCGGACTGCTCATATCATCCAGGATCAATGCTAGGGTGGCTGCATCGCGGAGCAGTGCTTGCAACGGGACGAGCAGGGGGATAGGCACTTTGCTGTTTGCATCTTCCCGAGCCTTGGGTGTTGGGTTACCATTCTGCCCCTTGGGGGGGTTCAGGCTACCGTGCTGGATTGCTTTGGAGGGGCTGTTGTTTTTCCCTCGGGCGGGGAAGTTGGAGAATAGTCGGGTCTTTTTGGGCGAGGAGACTTGCGTGCTTTGTTGAGGAAGCTTGCGGGCGGGAAGCCCTGTAATGGAAGGGGAAGGAAGGCCAGGGTTCAAGCTGGGAGGCTTCTTCGTGAGGTTTGTGAGTTGCCGGGGGATTGGTGTGGTTGGCATCGTGCTGGAATTGTCCTGGTTTAGATGGGTCAGAACTTTCTTTGCTGTAGGGGGTTATGTCTTCCCGTCTTTTCACTGGCTTCAGGTCTTAAATAGGCTCTTGGAGAAGAGTTCATTTGTTCTTGGATGGTGGTCAACGGGGGAGGCACTGAGACTTGAGCCAGGTCAAACAATCAATTTTGAGAGACATTCCGGGATATCGGGAGTGTGTAGAGGGTGATCGGGTTCGAATTGAGTGAGTCAATGGGTTCAAGCATGGCCCATGTGATCTCTTTCATGATCATGAACACGCTTCTTTGCTGGATCCAGTCTAATGGCATCTTGCTCTTGGTGCTGAGTACAAAGGAATGCAGTGCACAGGTAGCCCTAACTCTCGGAAGATACCATCTACTCATTCAGCGCCCCGAACAAGCCCCACCACAGGTCATCCCAATCAGCTAGCAAAAAATCCCCAAATCCACCGACCCCGCCAAAGCCTCATACCCCTTAACGTTCGGATGCAAATGATCCCCTGAATCAAACTCCGCCCGCAGCACCTCCGGATTCTTTGGGTCCCTCAGCATCGCATCAAAGTCCAGCACCGCATCGAACACCCCACCGTCCCGGATGAACGTATTCACCCGCTGTCGCGTCCGCTCCCGTTCCGGGTCGGAATACGGCTGCACCACCGACGCATTAGCCGGGGTCCCGAACGGCGTGATCGTCGCTCCGAAGACTGGGATCCCGACCGCGTGGAGCCGGGTCACGATCTGCCGGTAGGCGCGGATGAGCCGGTCGCCTGTGATGGTCTGGTTGGTGGGCGAGGTGTCTGCTGTGCCGATGTCGTTGACACCCTCGAAGAGAATGGCCCAGTGAACTTGGGTGTGGGCGAGGACGTCGCGGTCGATGCGTGAAAGAAGGGAGGGGCCTAGGCTGTCGTGGAGGATGCGGTTGCCGCCGGCGGCTTGGTTGAGGAGGGGGATTTGGGAGAGGGCTGCGGTGGGTTTTGAGGACTGCATGCGGGTGAGGAGAAGGTCGGGCCATCTGGTTTTGGTTAGTTGTGGGGTTGGGGCTTGTGTTTGTGTTTGTGTGGGCGTGGGTGTGGGTGTGGTGATGGACGGAGAGGAAGAGCGTTACCGGTTGTTCTTGTTGTTGTCACTACCCCTCCCGTCGGTGATGCTATCGCCCAGCAGGGCGCAGGCTTTGACTGTATTCGGTAGGTAGGCCTCGACGGTACTTATGAAGTACCTGCTCATGGTCAGTTGGGATTTTCTGAGAGGATGGGGTCAAGTACCAATGCTCCACGCTGGCTACGGATGCTTCGGTAAAGTTGGTTGTCCCGACTGAGTTTCCAAACTGCATCCATGATGTTGTGCGACTGCCCGGGTGGGAAGTGATGGCTCCGCCTGATTGACCATCTGCCAGATAGATGTCGACTGTGAGGGTCGTATTCGGCTGAGTGGAGGGTAGTCGGATAGGGTCAGATACAGCCAAACTACCAGGCGGGATGATAATGCTGTGAAAACCATCAAACAGGATAGGTTGGACAGTGTCTGGAACGATGACGCTTGTACCAAGTTCATTCTGCAAAGGAAGGGCAAGAGACACATTGGCGACGTCGAGATCATCCACGCCAAAAGCGTTCGAGAGACGAAGACGAATTGTCGAGGCGGGATGAGTGAGTCGAAGGGTCTGTCGAATCGTTGTATTTAAGAAGATGGCGGAACTGGAATTCTTCGTGGCAATGAGTTGCAAGAAGCGCAACTGCAACTGCAACGGATACACTTACAAATGGCTGCGGTGGAAGATTGGCCGGCTCGGTCAATTGAGGCATGGCAGTCCAGACATCGACCCAGTGTGAGGACTGGGCGGCTGCGAGGCCCGAAACGAGTGCGGCTGCTGCCGTATAGCAGAGAATGTGCATGGTAATACTTCTTTTTTTGGGGCGATGCTGTGATGTTCTTCACTCCGCGTCCGTGACATATTTATACATTTGCAACACCAAACATGCATTCTGGCTAAATGGGTAAATGAAAGGGGGGAAAGCTTGACAGTCCACCAAATCCATGCAGATCACTCACGGAATGCGGGGAAACAGAAGACAGGCCCATTCAGGCAATATGTGAGTTATCAGGTTAGGTACTGCAGACATGTTTGTTCATCTGTGCTGGAGCAGAGTTTGTGGAAGGATGCCTAAATTGACCTTCGCGCCATTCCTATATTAAAAACCCTAGGGAAGTAGTAACTCCTCACCTTTTCAGTCTAATCTTCATGTTGGGGGTACAGGATTTCTCTCAATACTTATTTTAATTTTCACGTAATATACTCTCGCGATCGACTTGAACCACAATGTGAACCTGTCACTGTGAGTTACCTCTAATGGCCTGGCTGGGTGGATCTTGAATTTGAATCATTGTGTCGGAAGCGACATCACGAACAAAAGCATGCGAGAAAAGTATTAATTTCATGTAAATATTTAGGCTTGGGACTGGATTGAAAAGTGAAAGGTTACGCTACTGAGCTCAAGGAGTGTGTGATGTCGCCAATGAGCTGCAGACTGTCATATCGGCGTCATTATTGTCAGGCGTACGACAGACGCGGTAAGCAGACGCTAAGCATAGAAATGGCCGGGTGGCGCAATGGTAGCGCGCTGCCTTCCGGTTAGGGATGTGGCAGTGGTTGCGCGTTCGAGTCGCGTCTCGGTCGTTCCTTTTTTCTTATCCCACAGAATCTCCGGACTACTCGGATTCATTCTTCCTTCGACTACATCCACCTGGCACACTGGCAATATCCTATGAATCTGTTTTTTCGCTTCCTCAATGTCTCATTCCCTACCTACACCTTAGCCGTCCTACCTGCCGACGAGAAGCATCTTCTCAACGGCCACCGTTTTTGCCCTCAACTCAGGCAATCATATACCGTCATAGAAACCATTTACTCGGCCTAACCAGAATCTCCATCACCATGAATCCTGGAAACCCCCTTCAGGGCGAACCCGGTTTCCCGTACACTCCCCTGACCAACACCAGTTACCTTGCCGGTTTCCTCAATCCCTCCGGGAAAAACACCTTCTCCTTCTGATTAACCTCACTTAATAAGACCCAATTCTTTTGATCACTACACAAGCAACCTGTTATCTATACAAAGAGCCTCGACATGTTCCGTGCGACATTCCGGAAACCAATCTCTCCACCAAGTATCGTCACCAAGTATTGAAGAGACACATTCGCCCAGCAGCCTCCTCAAGCCCAGGCTGCTCAGCCGCAGCAGCTCCCGCAGGCTCCTCCGGCCCAGCAGCCGCCGCAGGTGCAAGTCGCGGCAGAGGACGAGGACGAGGACGAGAACGAGGAGGCGGACCCTGATGGGCAGGTGGCTCAGGGAGCTCAGCAAGCCCAAGGTGGGTCAAATGCGCCGCACGCGGGCAATACGCCGAACACGCCAAATGTAATACTTGTAAATGGGGTGAACGGGGTTCATCAAATGAACGGGGTTAATCCAGCGAACCGGGTCAACCGGGTTAATGGTGTCAACCCAGTTAATGGTGTCAACCCAGTTAATGGGGTAAACCCAGTTAATGGGGTAAATCCAGTAAATGGGGTAAACCCAGTCAATAGGGCGAACCCGGGAAACAGGGTGAACGTAGCAAATGGAATAAACCCAGTCAATGGGGTGAATCCAGTCAATCGGGCCAACGTGGCGAACAGACTCAACTTTCCACGTCCTCTACGAATATTCGGACCTCACCGTCGGTTCCCGGACTATCAGATCCGCTACATAATGCTCAACGAGACCACAATCTTGACGGCCATCCAGTGGCTGGCGCCGGGCCCCATCGACTGGCACGGGGCCCCGGTGGATGCCCTCGACCTGGAATTCCTGATTCTGCGGGACCGGCAGCCCCAGGGAGTCACGCTGCATGGGAGCATCTCGCAGCACCCGTGGCAGCTGCGTCTGTTCCGAGAGGCGCGGCCATGGGCCGCCGGCATTGAAGTCCCCATCCGGGATACACGGGTGGTGGCGGAGAGTTTGACCCTGAACATGCTGGATCGCACCCATATAGTCCTAATCCGTGACTGGCGGCGTTCTATCCCTACCAATCCGAGGATTACTCGGTGAGGTCTTGGCTGACTCGTAGGTCCTACTGGCACAGTCTCCTTGCTATGCCATAGTATGTGGTAGGCCTGCTGTTTGATAGGACAGCTAGCTGTTCTGCTACAAGTATGTGCAGAAAGAAAAAGCCAAGAAAAGAAGAAATAAAAGTCCATAACTTCATTCTAAACAAGCCCAAGCACAGTATGATTTATCAGTAACAATATGAAAATTAGCATAGGTTTTTTGATATATTAGATTTGGATATAAACAGTCGAATCATCAATTTTCTATACCACTTCTTCTAGTACGAAGTATTAATATGTTAGATAAAGGATTATAGAGCTTATCTACAACCTCTAAAAGTTGTACATGCCCGCCGGCGGCCACCACCTGCTCCTATCGAGACGCTGATTCGTTAGGGTTACGATCCGGTCACACAACTCATTCCATTGTTAATCCCTCCTGTCATGAAGTTGTACATTATTCTAGTGCGCCTTGGGGATGCAGGACCCCAAGGGTAGTCTTGCAATAAGATCGATAGTGCGTTTGCCTTGCCTGACCTGCGGTGTTCTATTCCGTTATAGTAGTATCTAGTTTATATTGAATATTAAAAGTGCTCTTTTCTTGGAGCTAAAGAAGAGATTACTGTACACAAGTTTAGAATACTGTAACACAAGTTTAGAATACTATACTTCTCTATCTTGTACCTACTATCTATCACTATATCATAGGACAGGTCTGCCACCTACCTTTCTACTACTTATAAGTAGTGGGCCAGTACAGGCCGGGCAAATAGGTTATACCATAGATGTTATTAAAATCTGCTTTTTATTTTCTAGAGTAGCATATGTTTTTCTGAAAGTGATCTCATAGTGCAGAAATGGATAAACTGGTATAGGTATGTTTGGTTGAGGGCGGCTGTCCGTTAGTACGCGTAGTTGGATAAGTGATGACTTCTGGTTAACAGCCGGTGTCTGTCAATCTACATACCAGAAGAAATTGACAAACCTCCTCTCTGAATAAAGATGTATCGGCATAATCCGTGTGACAGCCCGAAAATCTCCCTCTTCAGCAAGTTTTATCTCTGTAACCCAGGAACCAAGCAGGCACATTCGCCGATCTATGCGTCTATAAATACTCCCTTGATCGTCGTGGCTTCGGTCATGCATTATCCCCCGCAACTCCACATTATACACTAGCTTCACACTTGAACAGCAAAAAACTGCAAGAAAAAATGTCGAGTCCGTACTGGAACGTACGTGGGCAGCGCAATACGCGCAACTCGC